CAGGTTTACAGCAGCGTCACTCGTCCCTGACAGACCCTCAAGAAAGTTATCCGTTGATCGCAGTCACACGGGCATGAAATAAGCGGCCAAGCCCTCACACAAATGCACGCTCTCACAAAGACGCCCTCTCACTCAGCGACCAAAAATCCACCCTGAAGTCACGCAACGCTTGATGTCCGACAGTAAAAGGTCAACTCGGCTTCCTATTTAGCAAATCACAGACGGCCTTTGCACAAACGCCGGAGCGATGTTAACTGTGTAGCGTCCCTCCCTCTCCAATCACATTTTATCTATTACACAAGACAAACAATTCCTAAGGTTGTAGGTGTTAAGACATACACAGAAAAAAAGAAACAAATGTTAGTGATAATAAAAAATGTAATTTGACGCTTTTGTCAGCATTCATTTAGAATTAACTTTGAGATTTGGAACCACAGTTTTTTTTTAGAAATGGGAGCCTCCAGCCCTGTGTAACAGTTCAAGAGGCTTCCCTTACATTCGTGTGTACACTCATTTTATCTGTATTGCTTAGAAGCATTATCTTTAATTAATTTTTACTCAACGGTTATATATTAGTTATATATATATATATAATATATAACCGTATATATATATATATTCTCCTTTTTTTGATATTTACATTACCTTTTTATAAAGCAACACTTCCACTGCTTAATCCCAAATGATTGTGTGGTTATTGGAGTGTCATAACGCTCCACAAGAGGTGGAGCGGTCACCGTTAACATGGGTAACTGTAATTTACCATGCAATATGTTGCATGTTTAGCATATAATGTTATAATGGATTCTGGTGGCCGTATGTTTTTTCAAAAGCTGCTGTTTGACATTATGGGACAATTCAAACACAGCTCATACATGTGGCGCTGATCTTTATTAAATCTACATTGCTAACACGAGAAGATTTGATGGGATGTGGTTGGATTACGAGTAACCGCTCTTTCCTGTTTGATTCCGGTTATCTGATCTCACCACTGTGAGACTCTACGGACAAGAACCCCGTGTGAGCCACTGAACCCCTGCTGACCCCGGGGCAGGAGACACGCGGCGCAGCTGGAGAATGAATCACCGCCGCGTGAATCATATCCGTTGTCTTTTTCTCTTTCTGTTGCTGTTTACATCCACAGCATGTGTGCCGCATCTTAATGGAGCGAAAGTTGGACAAACACGGTGAAGTGCTGGCGGATCAGCAGACGCTCAGGAAGTAGTAGCTCAGGCAACGAGGCTTCGCAGCTGCGCTGAAGGAAAGGGAATCTTCACAATCACATCTCCGATCAGTAAACTATTTAAATGATATCAACTGACTTGGACGTCTCATTGTGAGCAAATAGATTACGAACAAAGGCTCTTCCTTTGTAATCAATACAAAGTCTATCTAAATCTATGCAATTATTTTGAGACATATATATATAAACCCCACCTTTCCTTTCCAGTTGCATTTCATTTTCCCCTGTTGCAGGAGGAGTGTTGGGGGCTGTAGTGAAGAGAATGGGGGGATGTAAATCCTGTGGTCGTGTATCACATTCTGCTATTTTCATTTGGTCTAAACAAAATGGGGCCTAAAAGAAGAGAGAAGAGGAGGGGGGCTGCTCCACCAATCCTGCGCTTGGTTCCCTGGAAGTACTTTGTTTGCGAGAAATGTCACAGTAGCTTAATCAAGTCGAACCGACGGCTATACGAGAAACAGACGCAGCAGATGAGGGATGGAAGGATGTGTGTGTCAAACGATCAAAAAGGGAGCGTATCGAGACTCATTCAGTAACTTTTTACTGTGAAAGCTGTTGACAGAGGGCGGTTGTGCATGAGGGTTTTTAGCCTCTAAACACAACCGCCTCGTCAGAAGACTGAATATGTCGTGGTATATTTTGAGCGTGATTCTGTACGGGAATCTGTGTTTGTGTGCTTCTTTTTGTAACGGCTTAAACAGGAGTGATATAAAGTATTATGCTCCAGAAACTCAAATGATCAAATGCTCAAATCCCCCGTAAAGACGGTAGGCAGAATTCCAGATATTTGTTTCTCTCAGTCTCGGGAATCTCTCACACACATAAACACACTTACTGTCCCCAGGGGGCCGTTGGCCTGCTAGAAGACTCCCGGTCAAACTTTGGACTGAATCGTTTCCCAAATACAGAGAAGAAGTTTAGGGTTGGCTGGAGATACGGCAGGAAAGTGAAGTAGTCCACGTGCATGTGTGTGTCTGCATGCTCAGAACTCCTATTCATGACCGCTGATGCTGAGTGCGTGAACGACGACTTCCACCTTCAGCACTCTGACACACACACACACACACACACACACATTTCCCTGCTTCTGTTCACGCTCTAACATAATGTAAACCAACAAATCACCCTGAGAGACCGAGCTTCGTATCCACCTTTGAGGTGTGTGGCGCTCTTTTTGACATCGATAACCTTTGGTCAGGGCAGACAGGACAGTCCTGTCATGATAAAGCGTCTTACTGTGTCAAATAAAACATGATCCACCACTGTGTCTCTCTAATGTGTGCTTGTGTGACCTTTACTGGCCCCGGTATGCTGCCACGGATGCCTCAGGAAGTCAAGACCGACACCTAAGTCACCTCAAGAGTCTTTGCTTTTTTGCGTTGGTGTGTTTGTTTGTCTGTATGTGGGTATGTGTCCTCTGCCCTCTCCTGAAATAGGATTTTTAACTTCTTCCACAAACGTACATGTGTGGGCACTCACTCACGCACACAGACACACACACACACATGCTGTGCACTACGGTGCTGCTGTTTTTCCCATTAATTCCTCCAGTCTTACATCAGTTTGTCGTGGCCTACCTCCACTCAGGACCAGTCACGCTCCCCCGACTCAGTCACTGTGAGGCCCGCTCCTCCAGCGTTTGGCGACCGGCCTGTCAACGAGCCGACGGCTGCCTTTTATGTCTCAAATGAAAGTGCAGCAGACATGCCCCCCCCCCCATGACCCATATCTTATAATGCATATCCCTGCTTGAGGAGGCCCTTAAATGGCCGAGCGCCATGTTGTACACTGATCTTTAAGGGGTCGTAAAGCCTTCCGTCCGTTCTCACTGACTCCCTTCATCTCGTGACTCCGCCACTCTTCGCCCTCGACCCTCCTGACATTTTTAACTGCAGTATCTCTCCTCGCCCTGTCGCCCTGGTTTCCCTTTGAGCCCCCGTTTGTGGCTGCGGGGGCTGAATGTTAGGAGGTAGAGCCCTGATGGATATGGAGACTATTAACACGAATGCTGTGGATGGCAGAGTGCGCATGTGTGTGTGTGTGTGTGTGTGTGTGTGTGTGTGTGTGTGTGTGTGTGTGTGTGTGTGTGTGTGAGAGTGTACGCTAGTTAGCGTCTGAAGTTTGAAGGTGTAGAGGTGTTAAATGATTACAATGGTTTGAACATACATTTTAAAGAGAGTCAGTAAGTGCACAGCTGTACTCATTCTCTGTTGTTACATTTACACAACGGTTCCTTCTTGTTGGCAACAAAGTCCGGCAGCTGCAACAAATGGCAAACGGAATCAGACACAAAAAAAACACACACACACACACACACAAAGAAACGGTACTTAAGTGAAAATCTGGTGCAGTGGTACATTGTGGTCTGGGCCAATCAACTCGACACAGGCAGCAGTTAACTCTTTTTCTTTTATGCGTTTTCTTGCAACCTTGAAAAGTACAGTAATTGAAAGGGTATCGCTGCTGCATGGAGGAGGTAAAGGGAGGTAGAGGGAGGTGCAGAAGCATGATTGAGCTCGAAAGGCTTGGCAGAGTCAGGAAGCGATTAGGCCACTACAACCCAATAACAACTCCAGTAATGACATGAGGACAACAGGTTTCCTGCCACAACTGTTTTGCCTCAGTAACAGTAAACGGTACCGTTTCTATTTCGACATATGAACCTGGGAACATGAACACATGGAAGGAAAGAGAGGAAGTAAGGTGCCATACTTCCTTACATACTAGGAAGGTTTCAGGGTTTCCGAGATGAATGTTTGGTTTCTGTAACTTTACATCTTAAGCTCTCATACCTCACTTTTTATATGATTATGGTGGCACCTAAAATATTAAACAGTTTTGGAACAATCGTCATTCCTCTGTGACAAAGCAGGCTGCTTAATTCTGGCAGGTGACCATAGGTTTTGCTATCCAAAATGACATCAGCGATCTTTCATTAGCCTCATAATGTTTGATAAACCCTGCTGATTAGTGTTGTATGAACCCTGTAAATGGTCTTACATATAAAGGAATACCGAATGAAATTACGCTAAAGCTTTAATACGGATAAACAATACAAACAATCTATTTCTCGGATAAGAAAAGACACGACGGCCCTCCGAAGTATCCCTCCTACGGCAGCAACATGCACACAGCTTCAACATGTGGAAAAAGCGTCACACGTCTTACTGAGCCTGAGCAGATACACCGGTGATTTTTGTTGTTCAGTTGCACCACATCTTAAAAACAATCTTCTGCTAAACGACCAGGCAGACGCTGACGCAGAGCCGTGGCGGCGTGGAAATGATTCATTGCCTTGTAGGACCGTGAGTTCTGAGACTCAGCCACATCATCTCCTGCTTTCACTTCAGGCTTTCTGCTATTTTTCACAACTTTACCAGACTTCTCCATCAACCGCAGATGTTATCAGCTGCACCGCTGCATGGTCAAAGGCAGTGTGGAATGAGTCTGATGAAGCCAATGTTCAGCCAGAGGTTGAATCAGTCTTGGATACGCCTGAAGGACTCCGCCGTTCAGTCTGACATAAAACCGTACATTTGGTTCTGAGCGTGACGGGGGTCTTTTTTGTCAACTTGTTTTTGTTGCTAGTGTCTGAATCTTTCCGTCCATCACTTAAACACGGAGATGTTCGTACTGTGCCAGCTCACACAAAGTTAATGCCAGGCATCACATGACCCCCAGCAGTGAAACAGCACGTGATGCTCGCTATCCGCGCGGTGCTGATTTTGGTGGATTTACTGTGTGTTTATTTTCACAGGGCCTCCAGGAAAGCGTGGACGGATGGGAAGAAGAGGGGAAACCGGTAAGTGACGCTCGCCACCTGCCTTAGTTTGTCTCGTGTTGTCCGTTTTCCTCTTGGTCGCTTGTCCTGGGCGGCTGGATGAGTTGGAGGGGGGGGGCGGTGAAAGCAGCGACCTACGAGTCGGGCCGAGGGATGATGGGCTTGGAGGGCCCTCGTCCCTGTCGACGCCCATTTGCGCCGACATGGCGCTGACCTCGGGCATGTGGTTGCACTAACTTTGCCCAGATGTCAGTGGCTCTCGCTGAGCGGTAGCAGCTGCGGTCCCAGCGAGATTCTCCCCCCTTTGCCAACGTCAGCCGCCACCATTCCGTCGCTTTGTCTTCCCTCCCAGACTGCAGAACGCTCACCAAAGAACCAAAACAGTGCTGGAAGGAAGACCGCTGGCACAGATAGCGTTTTTTAAGTGTCGTCAGCGTTTGACTATTGTATTAAAATCTGCAGGACTGCAGGATGTGTGTCAGGTCGCAACGCTTCCTGTTTGTTTGTGATTCATCGTTGTGGATGTTTAGTGAGATGGGAGCCGTTCCTGTGAAGATGTTGACTAAGGGAAAGATCACATGTTGCTTTTGTCGCTCCACTAGAACGGTCTGAGAGTATATTTTTAATTAATTAACTTTTGTTTTACGATCCTATTGGGATCCATGTCACACTCTGATTTAATTGCCTGATGGGAAATTGGTGCAATTATACAATCTAGGGGTCTCAGAATGACGTGCTATGGCCTCAGGTTGTTATTTTGGAGGAATATCATTCTGGGAAGGCACAACATTGAGGTTTCACCCAAAATGGGACCCTCATTGGCACTCTATGGCAGGATGTTCCGCATCGGAATGTGTGTTTCTATTTAGGTGATGTCTCCGATTGTTTGCTTCTGGCGGCCGCATGTAGCAGCTTTGGTTTTATTGTGCACCGAGCTGTTGGGCCATCCTCAAGCCGATGACTCGGGAACAACCATTCAGGTTTTTCCCATCCTCTTATAGAATAACAAATGAAAGTGGAGAAAAATGACGGAAAACACAAACTTGGAAAACAAGAGTCCAAATCTTACTATTTTATTCCATTGTTTGCTCTTTTGGTTGATTTATTTTCTGTTTACGCCTTCTCTCTCTCTCCCTCTCTATCTCTTTCTCCCTCATTCCTTTATCTTTCTTTCTCTGCAACTCTCTCGCACACCACTCTCAAATTCAATGGTTAAAGCCGGTCTCACTTCGGCTCCAGTGTGCATTTGTTTACCTAACTGTCTGGCCAACGGGGTCCTTGTGCAGGCGTCTAGACGCAGCTACGTTTGATTGACTTGGTGTTCGTGCCTCATAAACCTCAACACCTCTCTCTTCTCTCCATTTCACCTCTTACCCCAAACACCTTCATTTGTTATCCCTCTTTCTACCACTCGTATCCCCCAAAAGATCCCTTTCCATTGAATTAATCAGCAAAACTTACAAGGCTCACATATATTCCGGTCACGTTAGCACGACTTTTTATATGTTTAACCAGTAACAAAACACCATAAATAGCCCACTTTCCCCCAGAGGAGGTCTGTTTTCAATCTCTGTGAGTTTATGTAGATGTTTAGTGGTGCATCCATGCTGACGAGCTGTTGTTGTACCAGGACTGCAGTGCTGGCATGGCTCCAAATCACGCCACGGGCTGTAATGGTGTAAACAATTAATGGATCAGCATCATGATTTGTTTTACATTTGGATCGGATAAATATGAACCAATCACTAATGTAGGATTTTTCAATCGCAAAATGATTTCTTTCACTTTTCAGTGGTTTAGGCTTTGGATGGTTTTTATTAGTGCCCTCGGACTTTTAAGCGAGTGTGTTTAATAAGAGTATTCCATTAAGACCACTAAGAACGAATGGAGTCTTTTGATCATTCCTATTGTTTTTGTTATGCTAAGTAAGAAAAGCAGAACGTACATGTTGCTGTTTAGCGTCAACATCCGAGGAATCCAATCAGACGTAAAAGACTGTCGCGGACATCTTTCTTCATACTTTAAAGGGACGCACTTTGCCAGCTCCCCCTTTTCACTGCGTGTTTGTCCTCCATCTGGTACGCCCACATCTTCTGAGGAAACAAAGTCTTGACATGACTTCATGTCCTAATGCAAAACACGGCCCATTATTCACATGTCTGTTTATGATAACGGGTTCACCACAAACTCCATTGGCAGCGGCTCTAATGAGCTTATTCTGTTCCATATTTAGGTGGTTAATTACAGTCATCATCTACCAAACCACGCTGTCTTTTGCAGTTGTTTTGTTGTTCACCACTTTTTCAAAGAATTGATTGCTGTACAAACCGAAGGTTACCATAACTCTCGCACACTGTGCTTCATATGTCGGATTTACTTAACATTGGTGCTCACGTACCATGCTGTGAATGGATCGGGTCCAGCTTACATCCAGGACATGGTCAAACCCTACATCCCAACCCGCACTCTCCGCTCTGCATCTGCAAAACTACTCGTCCCTCCCTCACTGAGAGCAAAACACTCGACTAGGTCTCGACTCTTCGCTGTCCTTGCGCCGAAATGGTGGAACGAGCTCTCTGAAGACACCAGGACCGCAGAGAGCCTTCACATTTTCCGCCGCAAACTAAAGACACACCTCTTCAGACTCTACCTTGACTAAAAACAAATTGTAGTACTTAAATTGTACTTATAATGGCTCTTATCTATAACAACTTGTAAATTGGCTTATGTGATGAAATTGCACTTTCTTTCTTGTTTCTTGTTCTCCTGAGTTTGTACCCTATGGTTGAATGCACTTATTGTACGTCGCTTTGGATAAAAGCGTCAGCTAAATGACATGTAATGTAATGTAATGTAATTTAGAGAATTTATTTCTAATGCCTGTTTTTTTCCTTTTTGTGTTTCAGGACTGCCTGTAAGTACAATTCCATCTCATCCAGGTAGTATCGAAATCAACTAACGGGTATTGAATGTAGTTACGGTTACATTGCACACACAAATGATGACGTTTATACAAACTGTGGTTTCCCTCTCACAGCATTCAAACGTGAACAGACACACAAACTGTTAAAGACTTACACACACACACGTGCCTCCACGCAGCGCGCCAACAAATGGACCCCCGAGGGAGTAATGGGTGTGCGCATGTGTGTGTGGGTTTCATGGTGATGGTTTAGGGGAGGTGACTTATTAGCAGCGACTCCTTGTCCTCTGTGGGACTCAAACTCTTGCTGACCACTGAAAAGCAGATAAAACAAACACAACAAAGACTTGTAGCAAGCAGAGGGTGCTGCTGCCTTCACGTTTGACATTCCTTCATTTTAAAATGAAAGGTTGTTAACTGCCTGGGAAAAGTGACACCATTCTGTTTCTGTTTTTTCTCTATCACAAATGGCACCGGACAGATATGCATATGAGCTCGCAATAAGCCTTGAGGGAAATCGTCTGTGCTGCTGTTTTGCACCAAGTGTGCAGGAAACGATTCGTTATTTATTTTCCTGGACCCACCCAAGATCTGATCTCTAGTGTAGATTTGTTTTCTAATTACAAAAATCCCAAATGTTTCTAAGGAGATGAATACAGAGGCCAAAAGGAAACCTACTGTACTGCAAAGTTAAGCATGCACTCAATCTCCAATAATTGCAGCAAAAGTCTTTGTGCGGATCAGTAAAAACTGATCCATGATTCTGTGTACGTTTTAATATTTTGGGGTAAAGTATACCAGGCTTATACATACAGCTGTTGATTTCTATTTCCATCTTGATGCTTCATGCTTTAATCTCTAACCTCACCAGGGCAAGGCTGGACGGGATGGATACCCGGTAAATTTGATTTGTTATTCATCCTGTCACTCTTCAATTCACCCAATGACATCTCTATTTCCTCTTTTTTTCCCCTCTGGATTCATTACAAATTTTCCTGCAGCTTCGTTTGGCTCTTTTCTTCTTTTTTACACTCTGCACCTTTTTAAAGAAATTACATTTACTCTAATTGTCGCCCGTTTCCCCACCTCTTCATGCTTCCCTCAACATTTACTCCTCACTGATGATGCATCCTGCCCCATGACTGATAGTGACTCTAATACAGTTGTATTCAAACCCACAATACAAAAACAGACTCATAGATTGTCCAATGGTGAAACAAAGCAACAGGCTCTTATCAGACACAGACACTTTAAAACATCTCAAACTACTAATTCAAGGCATCAAATAGTGATAGAAAACACATATGGCACAGTTGTTTGTTTGAACAGAATTATGTCCTTAAGGGGACAGTAGTGCTGCAATCAGCTTAAAACAAAAAAACATTCAATAAGTCAACTATCAGTACTCCAAAGACGATATACGGTGTTACACATTCAGTTATTGTGTTGTCCAACGATTCAGCGGCCTCTTGTGGCCATGTTGGACTCCTGACCTCCTCCACGCGCTGCTCACGGCTCTCCGGATTGCCGTCGTAGCCATCGGCAAATTCTCTCCATCCGATACAGAAACAGCCTCATCGTTCAGGGTCTGTGGCTGCGTGAGCCGATGGGACTAGAAGTCTGCACGGCGTAAAGTTCACATGGAAACTTTAGCAGCCTCCAGCCCGACCCGACCCCCACGACCGGTGGCCACCGCGACCCGCCAATAGTCGCCCTAGTGTGGTGTTCCACGGCGTCTTCTTGTTGGTGGCGCCGTTTTCTTACTGTGAATTTTTGGGACATTCATTACCCGTGGGGGCTCGCTGCGAGACAGATTCCCCGTCTCCCTGGCACGGCTCGGCCTCTCCTGACGGGAAATGCCTGCTGCTGCTAATTACACACAGGTGGGCCGAGCGCAAAGAGAAGCGTGCGCACGTTTGTGTTTGTCCGTGTCTCCATCAGAAATCCCAAAGTTGTGGTACATGTTTTCCTTTAAACTTTCAAACAACTGCTTGATTAAATGATGTCTTGTGAGGTGTAGAATTTGGGCAATGCAATGAGTCTAGTCACCATAAGGAAATCAATCCAAAGTCCTTATAAAAGAGGAAGCCTTTATTTTTCCATTGTTGATGCAAACAGTGAGCTCTCTTTCAAGCACTTTTTCCCAGCTATCGCTCTTATTGACATGATGTCTCAACACAATACAAGAAGATTCAAGCTCTGAACCCTCAGAGCAGAAAGCTGCAGTCTGAATTCTATGACTGCCGTCGTTAACTCATAATCCAACACTTAAAAACTCTTCAGCAGTGGTTGGAAGTAAGTAAGTGCATTTACGTTTGTAGGTACTTGACCTTTTGTTTTGCAATTTTATAATTGAGAGGCGCACTACTTTTTCCACCCAATACATTTAATGACATTTAGACTTAATGAATCCCTCTTATTCAGCTGTAAATAAAGTATTTGGGCTACTACTCCTCCCACCTTTACCGACTGCATCATTAAAATGATGCACACAGCAATATATCAATAATTACAATCCAGTAGTATCATATTTTTTTCAAACCAGCCATTTTGGCTGGCATTTTTTCATAACCAGAAAGTAATTTGATACCGTAGGATTATCACTTTTACTTGAGTAAAAGATCTGAATGCTTCTTCCAACACAGATCAATTCAGTCAGTCATATAAGCTATGTGCATAATCACATGTATGTTTGCCTGCGTGTGAGTGTGCATGTGCTTCCCCTCATTCAGGCGGCATACACATGTCTAGCAGTCGCTAGGTTCATCAGACTAATTCACGCTGCAGTCGGCTTCCATTGAAGCGTCGTAGATGTAATAAACAGTTTTAATGACATGCGGCTTGTGTGTATCTCAAGCATAACGCCATAAGTTGTGTGTTTGTGCGTGCTGATGTATGTTTTTTCACCTCATGCAACCCCTGTCACTTCTTCCTCTCATAAATCACAGGCGAGGGGTTTGAGTTTCAGAAGAGAGCCTTCCCACTGTCAAACTGTTTAAAGTCAAGCAGGCTGCCAGAACGGTGCAGAGGGGTAAACACATGGCAGTTGATTCTCATTTGAATGTCTATCGTGTTTACACAAAAGTGCCAGTCTGTGGCAGACAGCGGCCCTCTCCCAGCAGAAACGGGCCGAGGCCTCTATTGTTCAGCGCCGCAGGCCGCTCGGCGCAGATTAAAGCCAGACAGTCACCAGAAAACATGCCAGTAATTTTCTGTCCCAATCGCTCAGCACTCGGTATTCTTTAATTGGCTTTTTGGTTCTGGATGCAACCACAATTGTTTGTGTTTTTTTTTAAGAAGACAAATGTCATGTATCACAAATTACGTCAGCCCTGAAATAGCGGAGCTCTATTCCTGCGGCAACATGAAAGTTAACACAGAGGAAAAGATAATGGTATCGGAACCCCACAGTAACCACCGCCCTCACTTTTGATGCCTCTTAATTAGGCTCATTGGGTCTAATGTGTGCGACACGTTACCACGTGTGTTTTTCCGAGGTGCAGACACCAAGTCTTCAAGCAGCATCCTCAGCAATTACACCGTGCTGGATAATTACCAGTCTGCACCATAGGGAGTTCAATAAAGACAGCGGAGACACCCGTCGCCATGTTTCATCGGGATTAAGACACACAGAACCAGACATATGCTCCCCTACAGGCAAAGTTATTTTCCAGAAATGTGTTTCACAGCCATCTAATTGTGGGAATGCTGTCTCAAAACTGGACAAGATGGCGATGTAGACTAGAAATACACAAGAAGAGCACATTTCTGAACACATTTATGAAAATAAATCTTTATAAATAAATTTACTTTAGGTTTAGGTCCTAAACCTGATCAGGCGTATTTCTTCCCTTTTCTTCAACATTATTTGTATGTCTCTCTCCATACTTTAACCCATTTTCTGTTTTAGGTTTTAGGGTTGAGATATAATAGAGATATTAGATATTAGTGAGAGATTTTACTTTTTTGTTCAGACTGTTCTATTTTTATTTGAATTCCAGCTCTTTTTAGCGCCTTGCAGACTGTTGTGTACATTTGTACTGGCATGCAGTGTGCAGTATAACAATGCCGCTCCAGCGATAGAAAAGCACAGAACATGTTAAAAGCCAAATTCACTAGTTGTCTTATTATCATTCATAAAAACCAAATAGGTCCATTTTTCAAAAGAATTCCTAATGACCTCTGTTGCTCATTTAAGCAAGAATCATATATTTTAAACTTTCTCATATAATCAGTTTCGGAAACATTTTCTGAAATTGAGTAATAATGTTGTAAATATTGCTCCGAGTAGCTAATTCAGGGTCCTATTTTCTTCCATATATTGGATACCTCTGCGTCCGGTTACAGTCCACAATTTAGTTCTAAAGGATGCAAACTGTCAACTTCCAGATATTAAATACAGGATTCTAGTAATGAGATAAAACAGAGACACTTCGACATAGAACCTTCTATTAACAGGCCACTGTGTGGCTCGTTAGCGGCCATAAATCAGTCTGTTTTTGCTCGGGTTCAGCCGATGACCTCACCGTGACCTCACCGCGTACACCTTGTCTGCTCTCGCTGACGAGTCTTGCCTGATGTAGAGATATCAGACATGACGACCACAGCGTGCTGCATTAATGACGCATGAGTGGTGACATGACAGCTATATGTAGGGTCCAGCATTACATTCTTGCTCTTCACAACGCTCTGTACTACACAGTCAGAGTGAACTTATTGCCATCCAATTGGTCCCAGCCATTTGTTCCACCTCCCAACTCAGCCACCCGATACTGATTTAACAAGGGGTCCTGTATCAAAACCACAAAAAGAGCCTCAAAGGGGTTTTGCTGTGCTTCTCATAACCTCTCTTTTATAGCCGTAGCCGTCACATTACAGGACTGGAGAGGGGCAGCGTACAATCACAAGAACTATTGAATGAGCAGCTCCAAAGTATCATTCCCCTGTTCACTGCTTCTCCTCTCGCCCACTGACCGTCCATGAAATCAGGCAGTGACAACACTGTGGTAGGTTTTCACGATACGGGACGGAGCCCGAAACCCCCCACCATTAAATTAAGGGAGATGAGGAGAAAAGCCCAATTTATGAAAAGCCATCCAGGAGAGAGAGAGATGACAACTGTTAATGATGATTTCCAGCACGCGGAGGCACAGGACTGTTGAGTGTTTGCGCAGCACAACGACTCGAGGGATCCTGTGAAAACTGTTAGCTTTACTTTGAGAGCAGCTATTAAGGAGGAAGTCAACATCAGCCTCACATATACATGGCATTTAAGTGTTTTAGGAAAGTTTGATCCAACTGTTGCTTTATGTTTAAATGCGTTTGAACTGAGTGTTGCTTGGCAGAGGAGGTTCAATGACTGCTCGGCGGTTTTTATAGAGGTAAACAAAGTGGACATCTCCTCCAACTGCTGCTTCAGCACTTGGGGGAAGTCGGATGGGGACGTTCAAAGTACTTAACTGCCTGCTGGATTATCTCATCACCACAAACGGAGATGCTGTAGATGTGGGATTGTGTGTAAGATTATTACAGCTGGACTAAATCCACCCGGAGTCCAACATGTTGGACAGCACACTCTAAATCTCTGAATAATTACAAACCACCTGGAAACATCTTGTTATTTGACTCTCAGTTTTACACTCAAACACACACACACGGTTGGGGCAGGATATAGAATATACTTGAACATTTGTATAAAATTCACTAACTTTTCCTACTTTTTCAACCAGTATTTACAGCTGTTTTCTCTCCGTCACTTACAAATGCGCTTTTTACTGTCCTCCCTCAGCGCTTGTCTTGCCGAGTCCACTTAACTGTTTTTTCTGACCTACAATCACTTTCATTGTTTCCTTTAAATATACCGAGATAAGACACAAACGTAATAACAAAACTAATAACAATGCATTTGAAACCAAATGTTTCTTAATAATGTTCTTTGCTCAGACTAATATACAATTTTCCCGAAGGTCTTATAAATATTTTTGTAAAAAATGTATTCCCTGTTGTTTTTTTCAACACATATCTTGTTTGTTTAATATGTACCAAAGAGTAAAACTGCTGAGTGGTGTCTCTTGGTTCCAGTTCATGATAATAAAGTAGTATCTCATGCTTCTATCTTAAGAAAGTGAATCTTTTTTCCCTTAATCGGAAAATGTCGCTCTCTTTCTTCTTTTTGTAATGTCTTCTCCATCTGTCCTCCAACAGGGTCCTCTTGGCTTGGACGGGAAACCAGTGAGTATTCCCACAATCAAATATATGCAAAACCTGCTTCAAGTCACTGACAATGGGTTGATTTTGAACTCATTCTTTCTCCGCTCAGGGTTTTCCAGGAAGCCAGGTACGCCATCACACTTTTCATATTTCCAGTTTTCCTTATAGCACATCGGTTACACTGAAGCAACTTCATTTTCAAACAATCTCTTTAAATCCAGGTGGGTACGCGGCCTGTAAGACAGGTGATTGTTTGCTAAATATCATCAATCATCTTTATTGTTCCTAAGGGAACATTTCAACTGAGTGGGGAAAAAAAAACCACGGTAGCCGCCTTGTTGCTTGTTCCACCTCCTAAGTCATTCCAGGGCTCACAGCTCACGGGGGACTCATGGCTCAACTCAACCGGATACAGAAATCCCCTTCTCACTTCACCTCTGAGTCCCATTCATCACTTTACCCCTGAAACCCGGCCGCACCCCCGGACACACCCAGGCTAAGCGTGGAAACAGGCGAAGTGGAGCGAATGGGTTACACACCAGTGACAAAAGTGAGAGAGAGAGAGAGTTTATAACCTCACAAAGGCTCTTTTAAAAAGTAATCATTGTCCCCTCTGCGACACCCCCTTTGCCTACGAGAAGGAAGACTGGTCGATCTGCTGAAATGTAAAAAAAAAAGGAAAGAAAAGGCTCCTCTCCAAACACCATTAAGCCGTTGTTTCCCACAAGCGGAGTCGGCCCTTTTAAAGAGGAGTCTCCCCCATCACACCCAGCCGGTGTGACACAGCCCACGTGACCGCCTCCGCACGAGGGATGCTAGGTGAGAGGAAAACAAGAGAACAGAGGATGAAAGCAGTGGGATTTGTTGTTGGACGAAGGCCAGGGAAGTCCTAGGGTGCGTCTACAGGAACCAATCAAAGTTCAAAGGGAACACTGACAAGAGGAGAGTGAGTTCAACAACTGTGAAAAAAAGTAATAATTCATCGGTGGAGAGTTCATTCAGTGCCGTGGATATACATTTAAAAAAAAGGTCAATAAATAACTTTTTTTTCCCAGCATCTAAAATGCCAAATAGCTTTATACTTGTAAAACTCATGGACACATTTTGAACATAATAGCTTTTTAATGTATTGACGCAAAGATATTTCATATTTTCCAAATATCATTCCTGGCAAAAGCATTACGGATGTAATCGAAATCGAAAACTCTGACATCAAAATCTAAACATTTGTAATATAAGAAAAGGTAGTTGCTGAAAATGTCTGATCTCTTTAACAAAGTTTGGGATCTCAACTAGATTTTAAAATAAAGATGGGATGCGGTACGTGGGGGCCGCCGTGCTTGAGGTCCTTTTTCCGGCGAGTCGGGGCGGAGATAGGCGAAGGCACGGCGCTGGGTTTAAACGATCTGTGGGCCTGGTGTTTGTGAGGCAAGGTCAAAGGTCACACAGTGTCACTTTGTCTCAGCGTCTGGCACACACAGCCCAAACATGAGTGCGTGGGCCTCTCGTGTGAGTCCCTCTGCTTTTAGTTAGCGTGTCCAGCATTCCACCGTCCAAAGCATCTTCGCGTCTGAGAAAAAGAGCCAACAAAGGAAATTGTGTAGCTGCAGTAATATGGTTATTTCTTTTATTGTGACACTGTGTCAGAAGCGACTTGTGATTGAGAAGCCTCCGTGGCACATTACTGCCTCGCCTCACTATTTCATTGAATTCTCCCTGCAAGCAGCCAGTGTGAGATGTGCTTCGTGTTGCTGAAGTGATCTTTATCTTGACCAACTGTCTCTGATTATCTCCTCCTTCCCACAGGGGCCGGCCGGACTCAAGGGAGAAAAGGTACGCTTCAATACAAATTTCAACTGCGCTGCCGGGCGAGTCAATGCTCGCTCTGTATGGATGAATTTCTCACAGGCGGAAAGCTTTAGAAATGCCTGAACTCACACAAGCGACCACGCAGGTGTCCTCCGCCACTCTCCCACGTCCAAGTTCTCGCTGCGCGTCGAATCAAACCGGCCGTAGATCACACGTAGTTGGGTAGGACGTTGTAAAGGACACTGAACGGGTTTACAGGCCTTCCAGAACAAGTGCAGTAAACAGCATCTGTCAGAGAGGATTCTCTGTTTGATGATTGCAAATAACAGATGACGCCTTGGTTGGTAAAATTGTCTCCCTTCATGTAATCATGCTGGTAGCTCTGCACATCAACATGAACTCCAAATCAGCAAACCAACAATGTCCAGCACGAGCGCTCCCACTTTTACTTCCATCCCGTCCCAACAGATTGTGGTCTATTAAATGATTCATGCAGTAGATGTTGACTTGGTGAGCTGGTTTGGCAACAGAGGACCTTTCAGCCGCTCCCCGTATTTCAGTATTAGTTTGGAAGCCTTTCTGTCACAGCTGCTCTACGGTAGCTATATTTTTATTACAGACCTCGTCCTGTGTGCCTTTGCATTGGTAACATCTTCTAATGACTGTTATTTTCCTGTTTTTCTCGCAGGGTGACCAAGGGGACGTTGGGCCGAGGGTAAGTCATTCTTTCTCTTTGCCTGAGAAGACAACGACCAGTGTTCATTTTATAAGCTTTTCTTTCCCGGCTAAAAAAGCCTTTCTTTTGATGTTTGTTTTCTCCTGCATCGAATCTTTGGAAATCGAAAAAATTATCTTCTATTTATAACTCCTCTTTCTGTCTTTCTCTGTCTCTGCCACCCACCTTTTTCATTTCCGCTGCTATTAAGGTCACCTTGCACATCTTTACCTTTTTCTTTCCCTAGTTTATTTTGAAATCTAAATGTTCAACACCAAGTTCAATTCTAATCAAATCTGTGTCTGAATAAAAAAAATACACTACTTATAAGGAAAAGTTTGGCATTTGAGAAACACTCGATTACATTGAAATGACAAGATTGATATCACTCTAACGATTTAATTACTTTACTTTCCTTAACCGTACATCAAAGGCAACATCGGCTGCCATTGATCTCACGTATGTGCAGCTGACAGTGTCTTAGGACTGCAGGAAGAAACCTAAACCAACACGGGGAATGTATGCGAAAAGGTCCCAGATTCAAACCCAGATCACACAGCAAAATTCTGTTCCTGTTCTGTTCCAATCTGTGAAGTTTTGACAACATCTGAACAACTACTCATCATATCCCAGCTGTCACGCTGTGGCAAACAGGCCAAAGTGAAAGCACATCTCATCATATTGTGTTCTCCCCACATAAGATTCAACACTTGGGCTTTTCATAACTCAAAGGAAAGTATTTATACGCTGGGCTGCTTCCCTAGCAACTGCACCAACAGCGCAGTCTGGCTCCTGTGATGAGGTTTGAGTTGCCCACATCTCCGGAGACAGAGATGAGAAATTATGATATTAAAGAAAGATGGAAAAACTTTAAACATCGCCATTAAAACCAAATGGTTTGAGCGGTACGCCAAAGCTGCCATCTCGTCTCAACCAAACTATGTTTTCTTTATATTTCAGAGGAACCCGGCTCTGCATCTGGTCCATGTTGTCAGTTTAGTCTTTTCGTGGGATACCATTCTACCCAGTATGAGATCTATGTAATTATCTCCCACTTTGATTTGCTGTGGTATGAAATAAGCCATCAAGCCAATAAGGTTATAAGTGGATTGGAGTCTTTGAAGAAGTAAAGAATCCTAAATTAACTTTTGTTAAGGTCAAAATTTCCCTCATGCAAAAAGAAACAGCTACTGAGGTAATTAATTCATTGTTTGGTGTTTGAACCCAACAATTCTTTAAGTTTTATCCACTTTCTCCTAGATGTTAAATTACTGAAACATAACACAGAGCCAAATGGATTAGTCACTTGATCAATATGATTAATTTAATGAAACAATTTGGGTAACTCATTGCATTGGCAACTGAGTAAAAGTAACAGTGTGCTTGGAATTTCTATTAAATACCCATTAAATGAGCTACAGCATAATGATGAGGAATTTGGAGCCTGACAATATTGGCATAGCAATGAGTGTTACGAGTATTGGACTGAGACGGAATGACTATTGTTTTATGGCGCTGCACAAATCAAGTGTAACATGTACAGAGCGGCCTAGCAGAACAGTATTTATGATGCGGCTCAGAAGCCTTACTGGAATTCTTGATTCCTATTGGGTTGACCGCCATTTAATTTCCTGGCATAATGCTTCAGATTTTGAGCTGATAGTTTTGTGCAATAATTAAATCTTTTTGGCATTCAGCATTACATAGTTCTTCCAATGCGACAATATTGCATTTGGACGAAGCGTCTGGAGCTTGGATGTCGTTGGATAAGTCTGCAGCCAAAAAGCCTCAGCGTTTCGCTTCAGAGACGCACGCTTGGTTCAAAACAAACCTTACAGCTCCTAAAACTACTGTATTTGTGAGGGAGGTTTGGCACCAGGGTCCATTGTCATAGATATGACAAAATAGATTAAGCAAATGAAAAGCTTTTGGATTTTCTTACCATTTATGAACCACTGCAGAGTAAAGGTGGTGCTGTGGGAGCGGCGTCGGTACATCATCTTAACATTGTTTGGGAATTAACCTCTGAACGTGGCGAGGATGAGAGAAAATATGTGAAAACAGGAAGAGGTCATGAATCTATGTCGACCTGTGACTTCCTGTCATCCATCACGTTCAGTGCACTCAGGCCGAATGTGAACACAGGACACAGGACAACAGGGGCATTTAAACACAATCAGATGGCCTGGAACCACCAACAACATGTGGAAACAGGTCACGGGTGGTGTTGCATCTCGAAGGCAACATTTACTGAGAGGCAAAAAGATGGCGGCCACTTTCCCAGGCTCCATACTGCCACATGCATATGCAGGATGCTATGAATGTATGTTAGAGTTTGTCCTTGCTGTTGACAAGCCACAATAGCAGTTTCAAAAGCCTCCTCTTGTCTCCCCCGGAGCAGCTACCAAAAAAAAAATGGTTAGATGGATGTGTGCCTTTGTATCAGCTCGAGGTCTGATGGGAACACAGTAAAGGAGAAGCAGCCTATTCTCTTATGGGAGGTTTCAGGAGCATATGTGTGCATTATGCGGTCTTCATAGTGGGAACGGTGGGAATGAGTGAATGTGACAGTGGGGAGAGAAGTGTGCTGGCAGAGAGAGGAAGAGGAGGGCTCTGCGGTGTCAGAGAAACCGCAGCTATCGACTGCTCACCGCAGCCTGTTAACGGGAAACTCATGACTGGGCCAGCATCTCCTTCTCTCCCCCTGCTGTTTCTCCTCCTCCCTCCTCTCCGAGACGCTCTCGCCGTCCTTCAGTCGATGTGTTTTAGAAGGGAACTCAGCCAGAGAAGCAACACAGTGCTCCAACTTTGTGGCGGCGGACAAACTCCGCTCTCTTCAGCTTGACAGACAATCATCGCAGTTGACTTTCCGTTGGCTGGAATTAGCCACGCCACCTCCGTTTGGTTTGGTCGCAAAGGGCAAGGGACGGGGAGGGGGGGGCATTAAATGAAACCCTCCAAAAAAATGAAACACATGTTTGAAAAAGAAACCCAGGAATCAGTCTCTGAAACGTACGTTGTATCTGTTAATGGAACAAATGTCGCTTCCTCTCTTCAGGGTCCTGCTAACTATGGCTCACATGCAGGTCTGCACAGTAATCAGATTCTCGCCGTCAAGGTTTGTTCCATCAAGCGAACGGCCCTGTCGGCCTCCTACCGGTCTCTGCTCTCACCAGGGTGCTCATCTGTCGCTGCAGACGAACACTCTCCTTCAGCTTTCTCTTCCGGCTTTCCGAGGCTGCTGAACTCTTTTTCGTTATTTCCCTGTTGCTTGGACTCTCATCTGCAGTTTCTTAACTAACTAGTTTAAATTAACGTTCTCTACTCGCTTTGGTTTCTTCACTTATTTATTCATTTCTCTTTTTCTAACTTTTGGCTTTTTTTTCTCCTATATTTCGACTTCTTGTCCCTGCCGCACATCTCGCATCTCAGATGGCCTTCCCCAGATATGACCACGGCTTTCTCTCTGGAGAGCAGTCCGGTAGTTTTCAGAGACGTTTTCTGAAGGTACACGGTACAACTTGTGCATGTGTGCACTTTTAACACTTAAACTAACCTTTTTATGCATCTTTTGATTAGCAGTGCATCTCCCTTCTTTTATAGTTAACCCTCCGCAAGATGAGGGTTAATTTTATCGGAATTTCTTACCCAGATTCCTGACTCAGTTATATTAATATGACTTATTATATTTCATTTTTATTAAAAGTTCCAAGGCATTAGGAAATGTAGTAAAATGTCTCTGAACAAATTTTAGAGAGCTTCCAGAATGATTTGCTTCTCATTACAAGAAAAATAGAAAAGCTTTGTTGTGAACTGTTATTTTCAAGTTTTAGCTTAATAGAAACATTATAATTATCGGTACTCGAGTGTTTGAAGATCGCGGTCATATTTTTTACTTAAAAGGGCTTGCCGTACTATGTTGCTTGCCACAACAAAGCAAATGCCGATGTGCCACATGTTTGTTGAAATGAGAGCAGGCAGAGGAAGTGTCACCTATTGAAACGACTCTACACTACATCTGTTTGGCCGAAGCACGAGGGTGGAAGTCTTCAGAACAAGTTGTGCACCCAGTTAAATTTAGTTCAAGTGGTGAAAGGAATGCGGCTATTGGCCGCCTCCAGCCTCCAAGTGTCCCTTTTTAATTGTCCATCTATTATGTGAAATGAGGGACTCGTAAATTCATGAACTACATGCTAATGCTGGAAAAGTTTGATTGGGATTTTGAATCATGCACGAAGGACTAAACAATTCACTGGGGAAATTGTTTTGAAAACTGAGGTTTTTATAACAAAAGGTTGACATTGAATTGTATGTCTGCATGGAAATGGAGTCACTCATAGTAATGAACTCACTGACGTCCATCAAACTCATCAACTAGCTTTCGGCGGTTTCAGTTATTTTTCTGAAAACCTTTTCAACCCGCCAAACTTAAAACAGAGCTTGAAGAAGGTAAAATATTTGACTTCCAAGGACATGAACATGGCTCCAAATGCTCCTTATGAGTTGAATGTGTTACCAGGCAACGGGTGCTACATCTCAAAGTCACATTGTTGTTGCATGGTGTTGAGGTTTGACTGGTTTAAGAAATGCAACAATACAGATGAATATAGACTATAGACAAGCCAATGCTAACAACTAGAAATAATGCTTTTCTTTTTCATGGATAAAATAAAAAAATATATTTTACTTTTTTTTGTCAGGGTGACCAAGGCCAGGCTGGACCCGCTGGTCCTCCTGGCCCTCCGGGTCCCCCAGGTCCCAGGGGCCCCCCCGGGAACACGGGCAAGGACGGACCACGTGGCCCTGCTGGCGAGCCGGTGAGAGCTTCTTCCCAAACAAGGCTTTGGGCAAATATGTGTGCGTCTGTTTGTGAGTGAGTGTGCATTTATACACATGCATTAAAGCGTCGAGGGTCAATGCGCCAGGTCGCAGTGACCCTGAATCCCCATTCTTCCGGGTCTGCCAGTAAGCTGTGGCCTAAAAGCTTCCAGAATAGCAACTCTACTCCTGGACTCATCTGTTTTGTGTGAGACAGCGGCCACAAAGTCCCCCCCACCCCCCTCCCCCCATTTCTCCCACCCTGCTACACCACCACTGTGTTGCCGTGCACCCCTGAAACAGATATGGCACCGCGGCGAGTTCATGGGCAGTTTGCCGGCCTCGCTGAACAATGGTTGTGGTCCTCGCCGAAGGCAGTTTATGTTTCTCCGAATTAACTTTCTGCTTCTCCGAGTTTAGTTCACACGCGGCGGCAGCTTTTAGGCCGTCACTGCAGGATGGAAGAGGGAGAAAGGGGCTCTGAGGGGTAATTGTTTCTGTGAGTGAAGGAATTAATTGTGTGTTGCCCTCAGCTGGAGCAGGGCAGCAATAGGTTTGAAGTAACAAATCTCGGTGTCACCCTGGGGGAGTTGAGAGATTACGCAGAACCGACGCGAGAGAAAGCCAGCACAGCTCAGAAAACCACCAAAAGCAGACGGGTCGAATAGAGGGGGCCGTCCTGTAACGTGGTCAATTTCTAATACATTTTTGAGATGATTAAAGGCATTGCAAAACTCAAACAGCGAAACCAAAGCAGAACGGCGCTCGGAGCAGCTCCATGTTGTGGGCAGATGTCTGAGGGGGGCAGAGCAGGAGAAAGTCAGCAGGCCGTCGCCATTTGCTTCTTCAAAGTGTAAAATAAAGGAGGGAGAGACCGAACTAAATTAGAGCGAGTTTCTGTGTTTTTATTTTTATTTTTATTTGTTTATTATTTAACCTTTATTTAACCAGAAAAAAGTCCCATTGAGATCGAGATCTCATTTTCAAGGGCGACCTGGCCAAGAAGGCAGCAGAACACGTCGTTAAAGCACAGCCATAAAATACATATACATGACATGAGTAAAGCCACAATACAAATTAAGTTAAAAACTAAAATACAAAGAGAAAATGGTCAAAATCAGAGGCACCGTTCAATCGATTTTTGTTGTCTGTCCATTTGGAGACGTCGGAAAACATTAAAAGATACAAGTTGAGACAATTTCAGTTCAGCCTGGAGATTGTTCCATGTTGATGGGGCGGCAAAACTGAATGCTTTTTTCCCCAATTCAGTCCGCACTCGTGGAATGTACAAGCAGTAAATGTCGCTGTGCAATGCGTCGTCACGTGTAACATAATAACATAACGTGTCTGGCATCAGGAAATCATATAACATAAATTTGGGATATTTGGAAACACGTGTGACATCTGAAATGGTCCTCGTCCATCCTTTTCTGCGCTCGGGGCTCAAAAGTAGTACTAAGGAATGATTTGCAGCGGTGATCTGTTTCCCCCGGCTTCGCAGTAGAGACCGAAAGACATGAAGGAGGTAAGAGGGGTGAGAAAAGAGGTTAAAAAGCTGCTGGAGCAACTGGAAATTTTAAAAAAAGACCACATAGCAAGTAGAGAGGATCTGGATGACAGTTTGTATGTGAAGGAGTAAGAAAACCAGCTGCAACACATCTAAGTAGCTTCTGCACGTTATTTTAAAATTTGAGTACGGAGCCAAAGGCTAATAACCTACAATTTATAGCAAACATTTATTGGAGTGCAGTGAATAATCAAGTAAACACGATAGCAGTGTGTGTGAGAGAGCGAGATAGGGGGGGTGTTGCACAAGATCCCAGTAAAAGTTCCTCTGCCGTGGATGACTTCATAGCAGATGTTTAGCTGGTCCAAGCCTGCGTCCACCTGGCCTCCATAAACACGATAGGTCTGTTTATCTAAATAAGCCATCAAACCACCGATGGACAGATGCCAAAAAGTGGACATCGAATGCTCTCTGTGTTTGTGTCGGGTTATGGCTCATCATCAAACGCAGAGTTTGGCCACGGCTCCGGAGTCATCTCCTGTAAAGTGAAACTAAAACGGTCATGTGAATGCAGATTGGTGATGCGTCAACGGGAAAAGCCGCAGAAAGTGTTTCAATACTTTCTATCGTAGTTTTCTCACTAAGTGTTTTGTATGATGGAGTTGGAGGGCGATGGATAAAACACCCAAAATGTCCAATCAGCGTTCTAACGGTTGAGAACTGACTGTGACGGGCCGCTCATATCAGGCAAAGTACTCTGGCTCAGAATAAGTGGCTGCTGAACTGCTGCCTTGTTGAACACTGACATCTGTTGGCTAAAGTGTCTGCTGACCAGGTTCCTTCTCTGTCCTTCTCAGGGGTTTCCGGGTCGTGACGGCTTGGATGTGAGTTCAGTTCAAATCCAGTTTGACTTTGTTCATGAATAAATATTATACGTATGTGATGTTTATTTGTCCGCCTCTGTAAAATGATGGTAAACAGTTGTGTTTGTGCTGCAGGGGCCGCAGGGATTGCCTGGGAAGCCGGTACGATCCTTACTGGATATTTTACCTTGATTCAACTCAATTTCCCGTCTCGTAACATTCTGCTGTTTTGCTGCAGAAGCATCATGTGACCAAAAAGTTGCACAATTGACATTGATGGACTTTGATGAATTGACAGGGAGAAGATGGTGAGTCCGGCTTTCCAGGATTACAGGGGCCCCCAGGAGCGAAGGTACAGATAAGTGTCCCTCTTTGACGACGTTTAATGTGGATGTCTTTTCATGCTACGTGTTGAAGGTGTACTGTGTGTGAAAACAGGGCGAGTCCGGCACGGGGGAGAAAGGAGAGAGAGGCATGGATGGACTCCCGGGATTGAAGGTGGAAAACCAATACGAAATTGCATTTAACAAATACGTATATAAATACTTTTCTTCGCTATATCATTATTTCTACACTATTTAAAACTGATTGGTTGATATGTGCGATCAAACAGGGAGACAAAGGGGGACAAGGAGAGCAAGGACCACAGGGACCCTTGGTATGTGCACAGAAACACTTGATAACATGTGTTTTTCTTCAGTTGTTTACGCACCTCTCACTCGTGGTTGCCCGTCTCTGCCTCAGGGTTATCCTGGTGAAAAAGGCGCAACAGGCTCCTCGGACATCATCGACTTCAATGGGAAGCTTCTTGATGCTTTCCAGGTGAGTGATATTAAAGCGACAGTGAGACCACATAAATGGCTGCATTGTATGTTCCACCAGACATTTATAACTGAGGTTTAGGCGTCGAGGGGGGACTCGAAAAAGCCCACAAATGGTAGCGTGGTAAGGAACACCATTTCGTTTTTGCAACCGCTTTGCAAACTGAACACGTTGCCGTTTTTCTTCTCGACAGGCCATCACCACCATCAGTGTTTCGGTAACCTGCCGTTATTTCTGCATGGTTTTGGTGGAGTGATCAGTAACTAACACCTACAACGATCACACAACCTGTGATCTACAACCTGTGTGTGCATTTGCATTTTAGCAGACACTGTCCACTGCATAGTCCAGTGGTCCTGTATGTTTTTGTGGATGCACCCAGAACTACACACTTCAGATGTATCGGATCTCACTCTAGAGGCCACCTCTAAAGAGCATTACTGAATGTTCCTGATCTACTGGTCTAGCAGGCTCTTTCCTCTCTTTATTTGGGATAAAATAGTACAGCTGTGCTATCAGATAGCATGCAGCCTGAAGTAGCACACGTAATCGTGCAGAAAAATCATCAGTCTTTTGTTATACTGTTACATTGTTATATACCCTGTGTGTTTTTTTTTATGGCATGTTTCCAACGCGCCTAACAAGATGTGTGAACTCGCTAAAGGGCAGCATGGTTTTTTTTTCTGTTCCACATAACCGAGCACACAAGGGGAATGCGTCCAAAAGGAAGGGAGAGGACCTGCTCACCGTCTCAGTTTCATATTGCTCTCCCGCACACCGCCCTTTGATTCCATGCACCGGGCTACATGCTAATAACAGATGAATATCTCTGCAGCGGAGTGTGTATTTTATTTAAAACCACTCTGGACCAGGTGCCCTGGGACGTGATCTGAAGTGGGCTCCTGCATGTGAAGCTGTAGACAGCAGCCTACAAAGGAGTCTTTGCAAACACGAACCTGAGATCTTATCAGAAGCCTTTTGCTGTCGTGGATTAGTTGGCACCAAATCACACGTACGGTCTTGGCTACAGTTACAAGCCTGGAGCGAGGCGTGCTCGTTGGCCACCCAGCTCGTGTTATGATCCGTTCACTTGTTTGTGTGAAAAGCCCTATTGGTTTCCTCCGTGCTGAACGTGGTGAAAAGCCGCGCTGAAGCCGGGTGACTATTATTGTCATTCATTTACAGCTTTTGCTATAATTATTTGGATGGAAAGCCTTCACGTTCAATTGATGGAATATCCCAGATGAAATAGTTGTTTGTAAACGTGCATTGGTTTCCATGGTGATAGAATGGATGATAGACAAAAAGTTGGAAATTGGCAAAAGGGAGATATTTTGCATGTTCACATCCACGAGGCAACATGGGTTCATTTTTCATGACTTCAAGATGTCGGAGGACTTCAGAGGGAGAAGTAATCAGTATGACATTGAGGATGTAGAGATTAAGGAGCAGGATTTAAGGGGTTGTCAATGATTGACCAGCAGAGAACACTTCGTGGAATGGATATGATAAGCTATTCTTCATCCATGGTGTTACATAACATTACATAACTGCTTTTGTGTAACGCCCTCATCCTCATGAAAACAATCAACGGAATGAAATATGATGCCAGGCTGAAGTTTGGTACTACAAACCACATTCATTACAATCCTCGTAAAATATAATTGCTTCAAGTTGGTCGTGATCAGCGACCAAAGTGAAAGATTTTTTTACTGTCAGGCTTGCAATGAGAAATCAACCAGCCCTGTTGTTTTGTTTAGTGTTGGCCCATTTCCATGCAAACTTATGGTGGAGTTTTTCCATCATTTTGATAAACAAAAGGTTGGAAACAGACAAACATACAGTACCAGTCAAAAGTTGGACGTATTTTCTCATTCAATTCAACGAGGAAGTGTGTCCAAACTCTTAACTAGTACTGTATACTACAGATGTAAAATAACATGATTTAAAGCAGCTATAATCACTATCTATATAAAAAACATATCACATGACTACTTGTGTGAAACTGCTCATCAATAGTGACAAAACCGTATAAGATCATCTGTGCATCTCAGCTAAGTTTTAAGTCTTTGTTTGCTCAATTCAACCCGCATGTTTACTATTCACTCTCACAGTCAGTCCGTTCACCCTGAAAAGCTTTAGAAAAACCTGTATTCTACACTCAGGAAAGGTTAGTGACTCAATAATAAGACATTTTGAGTATCTATTTCTCAGGTGGACTCAAACGTGGCTCCAAAGCAATGCTAATTTGGCTCCTTATCAACTGCATGTTCAAATAAGCGACTTACGAGGTGGCGATGTTGTGTTTACGGCTTGTCTGCCCTGCCCCCATGTGGCCACAACGTTATTGCAGTTGCAGGATGGATGTACATGTAACATGTAACTTTAATTACAAGATTAGACACTAAAGATTATCTGGGTGTTTACATCGTTACTCAATGTGTTTATTTCTACAGGGTCCACCAGGACTGCCGGGACCACCAGGCCCTGCAGGGGAAAAGGTACAGAATTATTTGTTCAATTTGTGTCCGTATAACTTGAGTTTGATGTGTCTTCAACATCAATTTCTTTGTGTTAAAGCCAGTCATATTCATCAAATCAAATCCTTTCTCTGTTTGTCGTCTTCCAGGGTGAGCTCGGTTTACCGGGGCCGGCGGGACTCGATGGCGAGAAGGTACGGCAGCGGAGTTGCACGCAGCCGGATGAGAAATTTCGTGCCATTGTGTGTGCGTATCATTAGACTGACTCTTGGTCCTTTGTCTGCAGGGACCAAAAGGTGACGTGGGTGAGACAGGGCCACCTGGCGTGAGAGCAGAGAAGGGAGAGATGGGACTCTCTGGCCCCGCTGTAAGTAGTAAACATGTTTCTCCGATACACAAACCGTGGAAAGTTGACGAACCGCTGGGAACTCATCTGGCTTATTTTGGGTCAGGGTATGGACGGACACAAAGGAGAGAAAGGCGACTGCAGAATTGAAGACAACCTGGTTGGTGAAACACACGTGCAGTACGGCGTATCGGATCAGAGCAGACATTGACTGTACCAGTAATTAGGTGTGTTTTAGCTCATTTGTGACTTTTCTGATTGCGACGGTGTTCAGGTTCAGATGATTTCGCAGCCCGGCCCACCGGGCCCACCAGGGGTTCCCGGGTCCCCTGGATCTATGGTGAGTACTTGTCATCTCTATTCATGCAGGTAGAAACTGTTCAGGTCCGGTTTGTTGTAAGGATCTGTAGCCGTCACACTCACTCACTCACACGTGTTTTCCAGGGGCTGCATGGTGTGCCTGGTCCTAAGGTAAGGCTGCACGATTATAGTATGTGGTAGAGGCTCTAACGTGCTGTTTGGTACTCAGTGTTGCTACCCTTCTAATGCAGGGGGAGCCTGGATTCGGCATGAAGGGAGAGAAAGGGGACTACGGTGCTCCCGGAACCAGAGTAAGTGAACCATTACCATCATAAAATGAAATGCTGAAACCAGACACGACACAGTGATGCTAATGCACTTTTTAACGGCAGGGATTAGACGGCCCCCAGGGGACAACTGGGCCTGCAGGATTAGTGGGTCTTCCAGGTGCGAAGGGAGAAAAAGTAAGTACCTGACCACCCCCCTTATTGTCTGAACTAAATGCTTTACAGGTTTTACGGTATTCAATGAAACCATTATTGTGAATTCTATCTGTGAATGTGTGTTTGCAGGGCAGACCAGGGGAGCCTGGACTAGACGTGAGTGTTTCACTGGAAGGCGATCTTGACAGGACAAACATTTGAGTTCTATTTAACTTAAATCCGCCATCTGACCCGTATGTGCTTCTGTCTCCAGGGTTTCCCGGGACTGATGGGAGGGAAAGGCGAACGAGGGGAAAGAGGAGATAAGGTTAGTTAAGAAGGCAAAAAGAGATATTTACCTAAATTCAACCAATTCTATATGTTTCCCTTAATATTTCCCCCCTCCTTCTGCCTGTTCAGGGTGACCGGGGATCAGTGGGAAAGAGGGGTCTAAAGGGCCAGAAAGGAGAGCAGGGTCCTCCAGGCCTGGACCAGCCCTGTCCTGTGGTATGTCACACACACACACACACACACACACACAGTAATACTGCACTTTCGGGCTTTCCTCTCACCGTATACGTTATTTATCTTCTTTCTTCTCTCGACATTGTCATTTTCTGTGTTTCTCTGAGTTTCCTCTTCAAAGCTGTGACTGTGTGACTGGCTCTTGCTGACAGGGTTGCAATGAGAGAAACGATGTGTCTAATGAGACAGGCCTTTCTTCTCCTCCACCTCCTCTTCCTCCTTCCGGCCCTGAGGCCCCCTGTCCTGTGGTATAGTACCTCTGTCTCCTCCTCCCTCTCCCCCCTTGCATCACTACTTTTCAATCTTTCAAACTCTGTTAGTCACAACCAAAAAAGAGAATATAAAACATTCTACTGCAGGCCCACAAATATGGGCCTCCTGAAATGATTTCCACCATAAATAAATAGTTCTGGGGGGTTTTTATGGTGTGAAATGTTGATGCTATGTTAGCTTAGCTTAGCATAAAGGGGAATTGCTGGCTTTACTCTGCCCAAAGTGAAAACATCTGCCTCGTAGCAACTCTAATCTTTAGTTAATATCAAGTTACTGCCATCTTGGAAAAGGATGCGTGAGAAGAGGGGTGTTCATTTGGCTGTAACCACACAGCTATATGCCCTACCCACCTGTACGTGAAGCTAAGCTAATGGCTACCAGTAGTAGCCGTGTAATTAACAAATAGGTCTGAGAGTCATTCTTTATCTATTATTCCTAAAGTGTACCCCAAAATGTGAAATATTCCTTTAAATGAGAGGCTACAAGCCACTGAGAATTATCTTGATTTATGTTCTCCTTTTAAAGAAAAACTACCGAACAACTTTATTATTCTCATTTGGCTGAGCTTAACGTAAGGTATTTTTAATCATGCAACACATGACATATGCGGCCTTTTAAAAATCACACTACCTTTCTTCCTCTGCAGGGACAGGATGGGATGCCCATACCAGGCTGCTGGCACAAGGTGAGTGTCAACTAATTCAAGGAGTTGCATTTTATTACGTGACAACACATGGTAGTTAGTTAGTAAAAAGCAAACACTATTTGCAACCAACGCATACATTAATACTCATAGAGACTTGAATTAATTGCTTGACTCTGATTTGATACAGGGTCATTATGTAAGTATATTACAGTATGTAATAATCTAAAGCATGAGTGTTTGAGATCAATGGCTATTTATGATAATGCTGTTTTGATTGAAATTGATACTAATAATTAATCCCTACTATTCTTCTTTTGCAGTGATGACTAACCCGCAGCATGGAATCTGTACATATTGATATGATATATATTGCAGTTGAATACTACGCCGACAACCCACCCCTTCTTTCATAAAACATTTGATATAATATATTGACATTTTTTAAGGACATTTAATTTTTTTCAGTCTACAGTATTACAAAAATCTTTTTTTAACTCCAGTGTTGTTGCGAATGCTGCTGTGGTTTTTAAGAGAAGAACCTGAACTGGCGGTTGGACTCCTACTTTGAAGGACGGTCCAGATGAAAGCGTGTTGGAGTGCCGTGACAGTCCGGCGGTCTCACTAACAAAGCCTGACTTGCTGTCTGATTGTAATCGTGAACGCTGTATGGACATAATGGTGTGCGCACTCACCCGGTCTCACAGATGCTTGGATGGATGCACCGATCTCTTTGGGAGTTGAATTTGGAGGAATGTGGGTCAGGACTCTCCTGTTCTCTGTCTTTGTGTTTTTTCCAAAAGGAGGAAATGGCGAGACAGAAGCTCAAACGCAAGCGTCTCTCTCAGCCGTGAATGGAAGTGGCGCCCGGTGGAGAAGAGAATCATAAACGGGCAGTAACAGTAACATACTGAAGACTCAGATCCTCCATGGGGGGGGGGAGGGAGGTTGGGAGGGAAGGGAGGGACGACCGTGACAAAGAATCCTGCATTTTACACTCAACTGAGAAGTGAATACACACCTTTGGCTGATGATGTTGCACAATGGCTTCATAACCCGATGGAGTTGTTTGGGAGTCCCTGACGTCACTGGCACGGATGCTTAGGCGTATCTGTGTGGGGATCTCTTGTATGGATCTTTTTGTAAAGGTTTTTCACTTGTCAAATGTATGATCAGTATTGTTTAGCACCCTGACAGCTTAATAACTTCCCCAATGAAAGCTCAGACTGAAGTAAAGACAATTTTTTTGCAGTTTGCAATAAGAAGTTTTTAATAGTCTTTCCAAGCCAGTTTTTCAGAAAATTTGGTGAGTCTACCTTTTTAAGACTTTCACTTGTAGAAATGGTTTTGTTTCACTCTTACCAGTTTTTGTCCAGTTACATTTTGCATTCCCGTGCATTGCCTTTTTGTAGAATACATAGATAATACAACTTCAAGGCCCAGTTTGAAGGAACTATTTACAGTATTCGTAATAAACCAGTGTTTTTCTTGCCGTGAAGAATAATTGCCATTCTATAATGGAATTTTTCTCTATGATTTTGTTGCGTTTCAACTGATCATTATGCTTTAATCACTGAGGAAGAAACATTTGATTAACTATTGCCAGTTTGCTCTGAAAGGTTCTTGCTGCTGACTTAAATGTGTGTTATTTGTTTGATATTTTTGAATCGATACAAATATTTGAATTGAAGGACAGAAGGAAGTATGACATTTAAATCATATTTATATACAACTATAGTTTTGGGGGGGGTTCTTTGTGTAGCACACGACAATGGTTCTTTTGAATTTTGGGTGTGCGTTTTTCATATCTTTACTTTCAGATGACTTTTACTGGTGTGTTTTAGTCTTTCAACTATATCTTCCTCAGATGAATAATTCCTTGGTGCTTATATACTTTTATGTACCCATTTTAAAGCTATACTTTGCATATTCATATGCAAAATCACACACATGTCCATCACAACACTTGTTTTATTGTTTAAGCAATGTGAACATAAAGAAAACGTGGGTTTACCGATGTACCTTTATCAAATATTTGGCTACATGTATACAGGACAGAGATAATACTTTGACAATTCTCGTTACATTTCTTCATGTATATTCTACATAGATATAAGTTGAACGTTTTGATACAATATGAATATCCTTCAGCAATATATATTCTGGTCGATAGCCAGAAACGACCGACGATCAACCATTTAAACGTTGCTAATTCCAATTCTTGGCCTCAACTACAAACCGGTTATTATTTTTTTGGTTCACCAGATCTTATTAATTAGGGGAACACAAATGGACATGTACATGGATATTTGTTATTCCAATTCAATATTAGTAGCAGAAGGATCGCAGCAATTTGTTATTAAACACATCCGCTAGCAGGCTAAAATTACGTCCCAATGATAAAGGCCACATATTAGTGCAAAATAACACATGTACTGCACTACTCCATAATGCAGTTATTTTAGACACCTTTTCTAGAAAAAGAAGAGAAATCTGTAAATTAGTTGCATTTCATTAGTATAGATTAGAATAGCTGGAATACAAATTTTATTTGAGAATCATGAAAAGAAATATTGACTTACAAGTTATTGAAATCAGAATGTATGAACCGTAAATCACACAGTTCTTAACGTGATTTCACTGGAAGCTGATGGTTATCTGCCGCTGAACATTGTCATGTGTGTTTATTTCTTTTGCAGATTCTATCAATATCAGATTTAAGGCGTAACAAAGTCAACATATGTCAGTGTCTGGAAACAATTGTTTTGGTCATACTCAGTGCCACAGTATTAGATTGATTTGTTGAGAATTACTTTTGGTTGTGCATTTGATTTGAAAAGGAATTAAGCTATTTTTGTAATTAATTGTCTAAAAATGAACATGAAATTTGGTCAACTAAGCATGTGGACTGAAGTAAACTCTCCAGTTGTATGTTATTTTTGTCCAATAAATCATAATTATGTAAAACATAATTCATGTTGTTCATTTATTTAACATTAACATCATTGAAAACGTTTCCCTACCTTGTACTGCTGCTGCAATGAATGCAGTGATTTACACCAGAGAAGAAGGAAAATGAATTTGGCTGGAGAGAGAAGAATCACAGAGGCTGTGCAAAACACACAAAGTAACACGATAGACACACCATAAAAAGGCCAATGCCAGAAGGTATGGTGTAATTTAAAGATATGCATGCACTGTAATACATAATTGCACAAAGGCCAACACACCATGAGGCTGCGCTGCCCCGTGAGCTCTAGTTCATGCAAGAGATGGCAGCTTCCCTCACGACCTCAGACAGTTAAATATGTACCAGTGAAAAAGTAAGATTCTTCCTACGTTTCTTAAGTCCAACAATCTGTTGAAAGAGATCATACTACATCTTTACCCAGTACATTAAGCCTTTAACTGTGGTTAATCAATCAAACTAAACATGCTCACATTAACAGTTGTACCATGCTGGTGTTTAGCCAGTAATGTTCATGCTGACATAATCAGCACAAAACAGAAGGTTAGTCATGCAGGTAGGCCTATCACAAACCAAAGTATTGTAGAAATGATCATAGAGACGCTATAGGAAAAGTCTGCAATCACCAAAGTTATATTTTATGCTATCGAGAACATGTACGTCTCTATCACATTGAAGGGTTATCCACAAGTATGATATTTCCAATATTTTTTTGCATGTAAAAAATGATAATACTGAATTTAGAAATAATCCACAGAAAATTCCCATGTCTTCCTCTTGCTGAATGTGTTGATCAATCCCTGCCACTGTGAGGAAGCCTCCAGAACCAAAGATCACACCATTAACTTGTTAGTTAATCGATCGTTTGAAAGCTAACAACACAATAGAACACCTGGGGAAAGCATTTTCTGGATCAAAGGGCAAATTGTATTGTGCGTTACCCAACAGGCCAAAGTGGGCTCTTCATTTTATTAATTTCCTCAAACAAATCCCTGAAAGATTTGCAAGAATCATTCCCACGTGTCCTCTGTTGTTACAAAATAGTGAGCTCATTGCTTCTAAGTACAAACAAGTGGTGGAACATTAACTCTGGATTTTGTGAATCACCTGAATAAATAGCTTATTATAAGCAAACAAATTGACTTTTACACTTTTATCACATTATGTTAAAGTCATCATGGCATGGCATTGATTTTGGGTTTGTTTATATATATATATATATATATATATATATATATATATATATATATATATAAATGACATGTCTGTTACAAGTTAAAAAACATGTTAAAACATCCAATTCAAATGTTTAAAAAAATGAATGTTGTATTTCAATAACGATAAATGGTTATTGTTCCAAAAAAAAGATATTCAAACTTAGTATTTCAAAAGTCTTTAAGTGATTTAATACAATTATTCGGTAACAAATAGAGGTAACATTAATTCCTTAACTAATGTATAAACCATAGAAAGATGCAAAAATTCCATTTGCAAGCCAGAATGTGGCATTTGCCTATAATGCTGAAGGTGTAAACCCAGTCAAATTCTTTTAGAAAGTTGACCTAAATAAATCGTATTAGCATTCCTTTACAGAATAATTTAAAGAATCATATGAAAAAAACTTTCGATGATCAGCTTTATTGCCGTCCATCCGATCACCAACATATAATTACTTTACTCACAGCAGCGCTGCATAAATGGAGCACTTCCCTGTGTGCATGGGCCACATTTCCCAGAGTGCTTTGCGCGCCGGTAACCCCTCATAGTTTTAGCATCCGGGGTTGCGCTTCCTTTTCCTCCGTGCTGAGATGCGATGAGGATCTAGGCTTCTCTGGTCTTGCGAAAAATCCGAATCCATCCTTGTAAAAGGCACCATCGAATCTCGCCAAAATGACCGAGCAGATGACAGTGAGGGGGACCCTGAAGGGTCACAGTGGATGGGTCACCCAGATCGCCACGACGCCCCAGTATCCCGACATGATTCTGTCGGCGTCCAGAGGTGAGGATTCCCCCCCTGGCTCCGCCAACATGGCTGACGCTAGGTTAGCATTAGTCAGCCAGTTGGTTAGCGGAACTTGCAACTGTAACGTACGAGAACGAACGACAATGCTGGCGTGAGTTAATTGTTCTTCAACGGCTAACGTTTATTAACCGGGACATTTAGTCAGTACGGTTGTATGTGTTTGTTACTTGAACAGAATCCGCTCGAATTTAGCTAAGCGACAGGCGCCGGCTAGCTTAAACTAGCTAATGCTAGCAAACGTCATTTCAATATGCCCACATTGTATCTGCCACACGTGCAGTAAGGCGTGGACTGTAGACGTAATTATGTGCTAAAATGTGTAGATCTTGCAACTATCCACCTCAACCAGAGCAGATTGAGCTTTCCACCTGAGCGGAATGTGAGCGTAGCTTAAAACTATCATGTGAAAGTATTGCTAATGAGTAGCTAATTTACACGAGTATTGAGATCAAGTCATCAAACACCTTGTCTTAATGACCTGCCACAGACTCAAAGAAATGTCCTGGATGACAGTTTAGATGTCCTAATTCTCTGTTCCCATCACAACTCAAGCTAACTAGAATCAAATGGAGACAATAATTTTAGCCAGGGAATACATTTCCCAAATCATCATTAATCTCTAATCAATGCATACACTATTAAAGTTGCCAATTGTAAAATAGAAAAAGTATTTTCCTCGAAGATCTCCTTAAGAGAATAAAAGTATGCTCCACCAAACCATCACGAGTCAAGTCAACTAGTTACTTGAACGTAACAATCTACTAGCTACCTCTGCCTGGTAACATTTGGAAATGCACTCACTCAAATATAGAATTGCATGGTCATGCTGTCAGTTTTCTGCATGACTAGATATGGATGCAAAGTAAAATGTAAGCTGTGTCTTTTTTTTCCCAGATAAGTCTATCATCATGTGGAAGCTGACCCGTGATGAAACCAACTATGGCATCCCCCAGCGCTCCTTGACGGGCCACTCTCACTTCGTAAGTGATGTGGTCATCTCGTCAGATGGGCAGTTTGCCCTGTCCGGTGCCTGGGATGGATGTCTTCGCCTGTGGGATCTCACCTCGTAAGTACGGACGATGGTCATTTCCAATGTTCCGGTTTAGATGGTTAAGTTGTTTCTTCTAAATTTTTACAGTGGAATTTTTTGTCCCTGTAAAAGTTTAGTAGGAAAGTGTCTTCATTCCTGTGTGGGTGTGTGAAATACAATCTGACCACGGGAACACAACTAAACAATGAATTCAGATCCCAATTTTCAGTAATCTCTTTTGAATTCAGTGCAAACATCGTTTTTTGTGTCTTGGGCAAAAATCAGTGTTTATTCCCCAGTGATTATACCTATTCACATTTAGCTGATCTCAAATGGTGACATACCTGCAAATATGAGGGGAAGTAGAAACCGTTATTTGAATATTAATGATTTACTATAGTGTATATAAAACTTACAGGCTGAGGCTGCCCAGCTTTCATGCCTTGTAGTAAAACATGTGCTGATAGCTACGCTAGTAGTCTCAATTACTAAAATGCAGCACTTCGGACTTCTTTTTTGAAAATGTTTGTTTCCCCAGCGGCCTCACCACCCGCCACTTTGTTGGCCACACCAAGGATGTTTTGAGTGTGGCCTTTTCCGCTGATAACCGCCAGATTGTGTCTGGCTCCCGGGACAAGACCATCAAGCTATGGAACACTCTTGGAGTCTGCAAGTACACCATCCAGGTGAGCTGCCAGGTCATGTTGATGGGACTTAAGATGAAGACCGCTCGACTCATGATGAGACCTTGAAGACCTATTGCTGCACCGTGAATGTAGATAACACAAAGGGAAAGACCAGGACGGCACAGACGCTCAGTGTGCCAGAATACACACTGAAGGGTGTCTTGTGCGTAGTGATTTGGTCACGTTCAGCGTCAAACAAACTAGATTTCACTGAATTTAAAGGCTTCCCATCACTTGCAATTGGATCAAAAGAATACTGCTTTTAATGTAGTTTCGTCTAATTCGCATAAAAAGCAGCTTCCCGGTCGCCATTGCTCCGTTGAGTTGATGTCGAACATGGTCAGGCTGTCTCATCCTAAACCAAATAATACAGCGATCTGTGTACGGTCTATCTTCATGCTGGTGAAAAGCCAAAATGCGTTGTTTTCCCGCCTTGTTTGATTTCATCTTTCATTGAGATTATACATTTATTTTACATTTGCAGGATGAAGGTCATTCTGAGTGGGCTTCTTGTGTGCGCTTCTCCCCCAACAGCAACAACCCCATCATTGTCTCCTGCGGCTGGGACAAGATGGTTAAGGTAACTTATAACTTTTTTTTATAGTAGTCTCCTAAATGTTTGTCTGACTTCTTACAAATTTGACTTTAAGTACTTTGTTTGCCCTGTGAATTAGAAAAACACTCGTATTGCCCAGACATCTTTTGATTGTTGATGGTTTTAAGGTTATATGCCGCTACATGATTCCTTTGCTCGTAGGTGTGGAACCTGGCTAACTGCAAGCTGAAGACGAACCACATTGGCCATACTGGATTCCTGAACACAGTGACTGTCTCCCCTGATGGTTCCCTGTGTGCATCTGGTGGCAGGGTATGATGTAACTTTAATTGTAGACTACCGCGGAACGTTTTGTTTGTTCCCCTCCATTCTGAACTCAACTGAAGCACCCGTTTGAATTCAAGCTGCAGGTTTTAACGTTGATGAGAACTACAAAAAAATCTGTTTAACATTGATGATAAAGAGGCTGTTCCTGAGTTATACCTGCACTTAATCTTATGCAACTAATTGTATGCTGCAAGTATCTTAACCATCTACTATATTTGTTAATATGGTTATTGGTGATTTTTTTTTTTTTTTTTTCTATCCAGGACGGTCAGGCCATGCTGTGGGACCTGAATGAGGGAAAGCACCTCTACACCCTGGACAGCGGCGACACCATCAATGCCCTGTGCTTCAGCCCCAACCGTTACTGGCTGTGTGCCGCCACCGGCCCCAGTATCAAGATCTGGGTAAAAGACCTCATTTTAATTATCTCTCTATCAGTAAATGGTGCATTAAAGGTACCGTCCAATGGGCTGTGACGAAATTTCAAAATGCCATCTGTACTCTGTGATGATAAAGAGGCTGTTTCTGAGCTCTAGCCTAAACATTTTTTTATAAATGTTACTTGGGTTGAGTCCACTTGTCTTTGATGCTTTCTGCTACGTCTGGGTAGTTGGCCAATGCTTTGCCTCTGTTTTCTCATTCTCCTGTAGGATCTGGAGGGCAAGATTATTGTGGATGAGCTGAGACAGGAAGTGATCAGCACAAACAGCAAGGCTGAACCCCCACAGTGCACTTCCCTGGCGTGGTCTGCTGATGGACAGGTACGGTACCGTTTCACTGTATACTAGTGTTTATTCCCCAGGGATTATACCTATTCACAATTAACTGATCTCAAATGGTGATATACCTGCAAATATGAGGGGAAATGATACACTCATTTTCATAAAGGACAAAGTGACAACATTTGAAAATATACCTTTTTTTATTCTTTACAGACCCTGTTTGCTGGCTACACTGACAACCTGATCAGAGTGTGGCAGGTCACTATTGGAACTCGCTAGAACTTTTCGTCGCAAGCTACTTTCAATAAAAGACTGTTTGAAAAGATCCCTTTATGTCTTTCTTTCTACTGATTATGAAGCAAGGATTCTTGTCTCCGCTTTTTTTTTTTTATTCAAAACTTGTGTAAAATCAGTTGACAACAATGCATTCCAAGCTTCTACAAAGCAATAACTTAACAATGATTTGATGGATGAAGTCGGAACAGTTCATTTATTCTGAAATTGTATTATGGAAAATAAATTGCTGAATCACATGATTTTCAGTTACCTGATCTGTGCCAATACTTGATAGTTTCCCCTTTCTGTAACATCTTGGCAATTAAGAGGTGGATGCTGTCATTTCAGTTTTTGTAACTGTTGATGTACAGCGCTTTCAATATGTTAGGATTCCAGAATAGTATATCCATTTTCTGATTTGTGCTATTAGATAAAATACAAATGGCGAGGAAATATATAATTCAGTCGGTATATACTTTATTTTAAACCTCACATCAGGCTGATCATTTCTAGTACTCCCAATATATGAATATTGAATTCCTTTCATTCGTGGGGCCTGTGCTTTTTCAGCACTGGAATGTAATTTGTCAGACATTTAAATTTGAATCTTCAAAAATGAGACGACACCAAACGTTATTGTATGAATTGGCCTGCTTTGTTTCCGTAGTTTTGCTATGGTATCCTAGCAACCCAAACAGACGACTTAAACTAAGCTAAAACAACGACGTAACCTCTCCGGTACTCTTGCATTTATCAGCCAACTTAATGCTCAACTGAAACCCGTTTAATTGAATTGATGGAAAGTAATTGGAGCAGCTAAAGTAACGTTAGCTAACTGTTAAAAGGCGTCACATGCGCCTTGTCTAATGCAGGAGGAGATGAACCACACTTTATATCCGCGCATCTACGTGGAAAAAACTCTGTCCCTCATCAAACCGGACGCCATCCACAAAGCAGAGGAGATTGAGGACATTATCCGGAAATCCGGCTTCATCATATTGCAGGTTGGTTAACATATCTGAAGCAACTGTTTTTTGCCTTTTATTATAGGATGTCCCCACCTAAACAAGCATTGCTAATACATCGACAGGGCTTATTTATCGGATTTGATTCCCTCTGCTTGTATTTCTGCTGATATCAGCAGTACATGTTAAAGATATTTTTAGTCAACCGAGTAACTAACACCATGTCATAACTAGTTTGCCCACTAGAGAGCGCTAACTGCCCTAGTGAGCACATAGTCACTCTTTGCTACCCGAAATGCAGACATCTTAATCCAACATGTTTATTATTCAAATTAAAAAATATATAGGATGACAAATCATCAGAATTCCTCAAATAAAATCCAGCATCAATACTTATTTCACTGAAGTTTCCCACACCACCTTCCTGTGGCAGAAGCAGAAACTGCAGCTGAGTCCGGGGCAATGCTGCGACTTCTACGCACACTTGTATGGAATGCCCCTCTTTCCCAGCTTGACAGCCTTCATGAGCTCGGGCCCCATCATCGCCATGACTCTGGCTCGCGACAACGCCATCGCCCACTGGAAGTCCATCATAGGGCCCGTCAACAGCACCGAGGCCAGAGAAACTCATCCAGGGTGGTCAGTCCGTTATCTTACAAAGGCCTGATTCAGTCTTTGGTTTGGTTGTCGTTCCTTTCTGGCAAATGTGTTCTTGTACAATGGTGAGCGTATTGACTCCACCACTGCCCTGGCGGGGCAAATGGAAAGGGGTGGGGGTGCACACAAACCAGGTCTCTGATCTATTTCTGCTTATGAATCAAATATCTGGTTGGAAACTAATTAAACACAGCTTAAGTATACTAAATTACTGAAAGTAATTTGAATTAAAGTTATGTGTATGTCCCTAAAAATAAAATATTAAAATCTGTGTCATAATAATGGAATATTTATGAGATTACATGCCAACAATCCTTACCAGGTTGGACAAATTAATACAAAAAAGTGAAAACTGCTGTTGAACACATATCAACTAAATAGAAGTTTTACTTTAGATGGTTTACCTTAAATGCTCTACAAAAAAGTACACCGAATATTCTCAGTGATTTGGGTATACAGTCTGTATTCATGTTACACAGAAAGCTCTAGATGGAGTGGTTTCTTTTTTGCACAAACATACATAATTGATAGTGATTCTGGGCCCACCATATTATAGCCATGCCCTCTGACATGCCTATGATGATTCCTTGTTTTTAAGTAACGTACAGCGGTAGAAGTTTACAGTCATGGCAACACTAGCAGAGATGTATAAATGTATAAAGAATGTGATGCATTTTTTCCCCCGGCAGCCTTAGAGCAAAATATGGCTCTTCTGAACTCAAAAACGCACTCCATGGCAGCGCGTCATTTCATGCCGCTGAAAGGGAGATCAAATTCATGTTCCCAAACTGTAAGCAACGCCCAGAACCACACTCACTGTTGACACAGAAACGGTTGACCACTGATGCACCGCACATGCTTTTTCTCTGCAGCGTTAATTGAGCCCCTTCCCACAAGGGAAGCCAACGAAGTGTACCTGAACAGGTATGTAAACCCAACTCTGGTACGTGGACTTACTGAGCTCTGCAAGAACAAGCCCCTCAACCCCTGTGTGAGTATACACGCTCAACATCTGAAGACCTACATATATGTTTTATCATGTATTTCTGTAACCTTGCCATTTACTGGTGTTTAATATCTCCATTTTCCCCTTTTTTATTTTCAATAGATGTGGCTTGCTGATTGGCTGACTAACAACGATCCAAACCAGCCACAAACATGTGATGGAGCCATTGTGGAAGAAAAAGAATGCCAAGAAATACATTGTTTATAAATAAATGTATCAATTCAGTCTTGTATTGACATAATTGCATTGCTAGTCATTGGTTTTGTTTGCTGTCCAGGTGAGGTTGGCCAATTAGTAACTATTTAACTATTTGTTCTACCTTGAATACTGCATCAGGGTGTGACTTGATTCATGACCTAAACCAAAGTTCCTCAGTTTAACATGAGGAGAACAAGTCCTAATTGTTCAGAAAAACAAATATCTCAGATTTGTTTGTTTTTCAAGCAAAGCAACCCGTCTAACTGAGTCTCAAATGCCATCTTGATTTTTAATAGTTTAGCCAGTTGGTTGAAAATTGTTCATTTGATTTAATTGTCCCTTTAAGTGGGACTCAAACACATCATTTATTTGTTGAAGTAGTACAGCTTGTAAATAACCTGCATGGGAATAAAGTTGTTGAGCAAATAAGTTACTGAGTGTCTTCAGTCACAGGATGAGCGGTGACATCGATGGGGGAACAATCAATACCCAACAGCTCACGTCCATCTAATATCGAACTGTCCTCCCCATCTGGTGTATCAACTCATGATCTGTCATCTCTAAACAAAAACTGCATACAAACTTAACATGATGGTGTTTATTGCAAGCCTATAATACTAATGTATGTGATTTCATAAGTGTTTAGTATTAGTCCAATCCATATTTCCTATTCCTTTATAACTTTATTGTGGTCCTTGATGGAAGGTCACCTTTATAGCGTGTGTGTCCATGTGCACATGAAGAGCTTGATGTCATTTTATCCATCGTTCATGTTTGAACGGATATGCAAACATCTACATTGACGGCAGTTTGTACGCAGGCAGAGCACCGTTCACAGTGACGACCCTCGCGTCACTACTGTAGCACTTGAATACATCGGTATGCGGTTCAGAAGGAACAGTCGACAAACAACGCTTAGACAAATCATTTAACGCAACAGTTAAAAATACTGGGATTGATCAATCCTAGTATTTCTCAATCTGCGAGCAGGGAGAAACTCCTTGGACGCAGAAAGGGTACTCCGAGTTTCTTCCTGTCTGTTAAGGGCGTGAACATCTTCTGTGGAAAGAAAGTCACGCGAATGCGATTGGTCGCAGTCACGACTGACAGTATTGTTCCTCCAATCAGATGGCGTCACCACAGAAATGGAGTTTTTTTCTGCCGGTTCTAGAAAACCAACCACGAGTTGTCGTCGTGTGGGAGAATCCATCTTGAAGAGAGCTCTCCGGTTGTGTGACCAGTAAGCAGGTTTTCCTACTTCTTTAACCGTGGTATTGTCTTTATATTGTCACGTAAGTACTCAGATTGTTGTAGTCTGTACTTGTCCCCCCCTGGTAGATGTAATGTATTTAATCACAATTAAATATAGGCGTAATATGGCGCGGCCTTTGCGTTACGTAACTGCGAATTCGAGTCGTTCAGTCCAGGCTCGTTTTTTTTATCAGCGAGCTGCAGATGGTTACGCCGTCTATAATCTTCTGCGCCGCCTATAAGCATATTATTGATTTGGGGGGGTTGGTTACCGTGTCGTGCAAGTTAAAAGCCACAGAGTTTCCATCGCTTGCGTTCTGCAACGAATCGGAAGGACTGAAAATGTATGGAAAACCAAAATGGTGGTAAATGCCCCGCACGGGCACCTTGTAAATGGCGATGCATGATCGGCGTGAAGGATTATATAACCGCCGACAGTTAGTTTATTTAACACGTTTTTTTTGTTTTTTAGTTATTGCAGTGCAAACATGTCCGAGGCAGAGCAGCAATACATGGAAACATCAGAAAACGGCCACGAAGTCGACGACGATTTTGACGGGGCCGAAATCACCGAGGAGGGAAACGACGAGAGCGCCGGGAATGAGTGCGAGGAGGGCGCAGGGCCCGACGGCGACGCCGACGGCAACTCGCAAAACGGCGGAACGGAGGGCGGACAGATCGACGCCAGCAAAGGCGAGGAGGATGCGGGGTAAGTTTTAAAAATGGAAAGAAAAGAAAAAAAACTGTGCAATGTGTCTTTCTCTTTTTTTTTGCGGGGTGTCGTTTAGCGGCCGGGGTTCGCCTTGTTTCTTTGTTCAACCGGCCTTTGTTGGCGCCATATGCAGAGCGGACGGATGGGTGGTGTTGGTGGGGGGATGGGCGCTTCGGCGGGGATCATATCTAGCTCCTGTTAGCCCACGACCCCCCCCCCCCCCACACACACACACACCGTGTGAAATGATTTTCCATTCTATCGAATTAATGCCCCAATTCAGCTTTAAGCTAAAGCGGCTCTAGCGCCCGCCGCCCCCCTCCCCTGCCTACGTCATCGGGTCAACAGATGTTCTGGAACAGTGTGTTCATTGACACCCCCACCGACATATACAGTGAGGGTAGGGGGCCCGCTGTAATGCTAAACATGTCCCCCTCCTCCCCTTTGTGCCCAGGAAAATGTTTGTTGGTGGTCTAAGCTGGGAAACGAGCAAGAAGGATCTTAAAGATTACTTCACTAAATTCGGGGAGGTGACTGACTGCACCATAAAGATGGACCAGCAGACGGGCCGGTCAAGAGGCTTCGGCTTCATCCTCTTCAAAGATGCAGTCAGTGTCGATAAGGTGAGTGGTGAAGGAATTGTGTCGCGGCCAAAGTTATTCTGTTTTCAGGCGCGGTCAGTTCCAAACCTTTCCTTTTTTTTTATTTCCTTTTTTAGGTTCTTGAGCAGAAGGAACATAGGCTAGATGGGCGAGTGATCGACCCCAAGAAGGCCATGGCTATGAAGAAGGATCCGGTCAAGAAAATCTTTGTGGGAGGCCTTAACCCCGACACTTCAAAGGAAGTCATCCAAGAGTACTTTGGGACCTTTGGAGAGGTACGGGATTGAACGCGTGTCAGTTTTACGGAATAATTAAACATTTGCGATATTGGCTGCAGTTAAGCTCATCCTCCTCTTGCATAGGTCGAGACCATCGAGCTTCCACAAGATCCAAAGACGGAAAAGAGGAGGGGATTCGTATTCATCACGTATAAAGACGAGACTCCTGTCAAGAAGGTCATGGAAAAGAAGTACCACAACGTCGGTGGAAGCAAGGTAACGGCACGCCTCACATTCTGCATACCGCTGAAATATTAGCATTCCGTTTTGATAAATTTAGCAAATGTCGTGCCCCACTAACGTAATGTGCTCTTGTGTGGTGTTCCAGTGTGAAATCAAAATAGCGCAGCCCAAAGAGGTCTACGTGCAGCAGCAGTACGGTGCCCGTGGATATGGAGGACGCGGCAGGGGCCGTGGAGGTAAGCGCCTCGTTGCAAACTGCAGCAAATGACCACCCGTGTGCTGGAGAGTTGTGACAAAGGCCTCACTTTGTTTCTAGGCCAAGGCCAGAACTGGAATCAAGGTTACAACAACTACTGGAACCAGGGATACAACCAGAACTACGGCTACGGACAGCAAGGCTACGGATATGGCGGCTACGGCAACTATGACTACTCTGCTGGTTATTACGGCTATGGGGGTGGCTACGACTACAGTAAGCGATAAGTCCCCCCCGGGAAAGAAAAAAGAATGAGAGAAACTTTATTTTCTTGGTCCTCCTTGTTGTACAGAAGAACTCAGTCCCTTTTTCTCTTGTCCTCCAGACCAGGGCAATACAAGCTATGGGAAAACTCCAAGACGTGGAGGCCACCAGAATAGCTACAAGCCATACTGATCACACGTAGTGCAGGTATGCATTTTTGCATCATCCGTGGTAGTATGAGAACATAGCTGTAACCATTGGTGCCTTTTTGACCCCCAAAAATCTCCATCTACTCTAAATCCATTCAAGCATTGTGGTGGGGTTAGGGTAGGCTGTGTTGTGGGGTCTGTGATCATTAAAGATGGATTCATTCCACCTGTCAGCCATCTTAAGATGCATCTCTACTACTTGATCAATAAGGGTTGAGTTGATGGTGGTTGAGAACAGGAATAAGCACCGTTTCACCTTTCACCAGGGTGCTAGGTGCAATAGTTAGTGGTCGTGCCCCGCCCCCTCCCCCTCCCCCTCCCCCAGAAAAGGTGTGTGTGTGTGTGTGTCTCCATTCACTGACCTGTCAAACTCATTCATGCACCTGTCTGTCTGTGTAACTGCATGCCTTATTTGGTTTATTCTCAGTAACGTTAAGCACCGTGTTTTTCTCTTAAGGTCTAAAGTAAATAAGAAAAAGAGATCCATGGTCTGACCACAACCAACATGGGCTCTGGCTTTTCCTTTGGAGTTGGCAGAAATTTGGACTCATGCTCCATTTGTACAGATCAAGTGAGGAACTGGGGAAGCAAATGTCACTTTTCCACTTTTTATTTTATATTGTTTTGTGTCCATTTACATTTCCAGTGATGGAAGTGTTATTTTTACTGTACTTTTTGGTACCTTTTTGAATCTAATGTATTGTATGGTTGTATTTTTACATGTCTACTGGATTTACAGATGAGCCGGAGCAAGAGCTTTTAAAGCTCAAAATAAAACAATTTTCTTTTTTTTTTCTTTTTGGTGTTTCTAGATCTTTCGTTATTATCTCCCATGCTGAAAGTTGGTTGCATGGCTTTAGATATGGGTTGAGGCAAAATAAGGGATTTAAACTAATCAAAGGGTTCATTGTAAGCGTGTTAAGTGAATGTTTCAGATTGACTAGTAGACAAAGACAACCAGCATTTTTTTTCTCTCCTTTTTTGGGCTTTTAAGATTTTTTTCCCCCCATGTCTGCAATTTTAAGTGGCTTTACTAGTGTTATCCACCTGAACGCAAGCCTGTTAAATGTAAGAGGGTATTCCCTCTCTCACTGGAAACTCATTCCTCTAGTGTCTTGGGCAAATTGATAGAAATAAACTTTGGGTTTATAATTACACATGGATCCTTTTGTTATTATTTGTAAAGGTAATGTTAAATGTTTTGTACTGTTAAATGGCTTGCTTGCTTTGTCTTGAGTAATGCTAACATCCCCACAATACCTCTGCGGGGGAGGGCGTCACTGCCTGCAGGATAACTGGCTGAGTGTAACACCCACCCCACTAGATGTCAAACTAGTACTTGAGCATTTTTCTCAATGTGGCCAAGAGGTAAAGCTAATGGTCTGGTAAGTGCTCATCTCAACGACCGTGTATGGAGAACGTGTTACTGATCAGTGTTGTAAGCTGGGACTCATTATTTCACATACTTCTGCTGCGAAGAAAAGACTAGAAGTCAGGTTTTAAAAAATATTTATTGGTATTAAAAGACCATACTGTGGGACTTGATTAGTGTTCCATTAGCATGTTGCATAGTAGATGTCCCATAGCTGGCGACTCTTACGATGGGCTGTTACGGTTCTGTATCTGCTTCCACCTCATTCTACGGACGTGATGCCTGTAAATGGCTCTGAACACCTGAGGGGGGGGTTAAAATAAAATACAAGTGATCACTAGACTGCTGACAGGATCTTCAAATCTACTGGCCCCCATATGCATAGCTGGGTCTTGAAACGATAATGTGCTGTGACGTAAACAAGTCAGACTGATTAATCCATTTCAAAACGGGGACCCACAGCAACATGCTCTAAGTGAAATGAACTTGTTTGATCTACTGGAACGTAAAGTGTAGCCATTCACATCTCTACCTCTGGACTTTATGAATGTGACCATCTGACAATGTCTGATGCAATTAAAAGTTTTCTACAGGTTTCACAAACCGTAGATGTCTTCCTTTCCCGGTTTAACCGTCACTGGCTTCCATGTCTGCGAACGAGAAAAATGGAAATTATTCTACACTTTTGTAATCTGGGGTATTCGATCCAATCAATGGATCTGTAAGTGATCTGTGTATCTATGAACCATCTTTTGGTAAGAGCTGTAGACAGCAGCGTCTTTGTGCAGCTGACCTGTGAGGATGCGGTCAATGCATCGTACCACCAGCTCTGCGTCCTCCATACTGAAACACATCGGGGGTTTGAACTTCACGACGTTTTCCCAGGGGCCATCTGTACTCACGCAGATGTTATCCTCCTCTTTTAACCTGAGGCGAAAGGCACATGCTGTAAAATCATTCTGCAGAGACTGAATACTAGAAGATTGTCAGCGTTGTACTGAAGTACCGCTTCACCACACGCGCTGCTGTTTCTGTGGCAGGAGTCTTCTGCTGCCGGTCTGTGACCAGCTCGAGACCCACAAACAGGCCCACACCTCTAAAAAAGGAAGACATAAAGCCGTGAGGTGGACTCATGAACCCCTTTGACACACTGCAACATTGAATCAGCTGATATTTGAATTAACTAAAAAGATGATTTTATTTCATCTCTGTGAAATAAGGACCTCAAATATATTTGTTTTAAAACTTGAGCTAACAGGTGCCTTTTACAGTAGTAGTAGTAGTATATTTTTATATTTTAAAAAATCACATTCATTAAAATGTAAATAGCTGCTCCACCAGAAAGATGTCGAGTACACATTCAAACCGCTGAGATAAGAAAAAAAACTAGATTTATACTCATTTTGTAGGTGCTGATTTAAAAAATATATTTTATCATTCCAATCTGAATAAAGGCCAGGAAGTCTGGAGAGTTGAAAAGCTTTGGTCTCAATGCAGTTTAATCCTTACCTCACATCGCCAATAATTTGATGCCGTAGTTGTAGATTTTTTAGCAGGTCTTTAAGGTGTGCGCCCACGCGGGTGGCGTTTCCTCTCAAGTCCTCCTTCTCTATTACATCGAGCAATGCAAGGCCAATTGCACAGGACACCGGATTCCCTCCGAACTGCATGAAGTTGAAGGAAAAAAAAAAGAACGTCCCCCTTCCCGTATGCCTTCTTGACAACATGTAGTACAAAACACATTTTGATAGAAATGTGATTTTGCTTCAAAATGGAAAGCGACTTTGTTCATGAGGTGTTAATGCAGCTGTGCTGTCACCGTATTGAAGTACTCCACTCCGTTGGCTGTGAAAGCCTCGGCTACTTCTACAGTGGTAGCCACACACGCCAGGGGATGCCCGTTTCCCATGGGTTTCCCCATGGTCACTATGTCGGGACAGAAGCCCTCCCCGTGCAGCTGGAAGGCCCAGAAGTGACTCCCCACGCGGCCGAAACCTGTCTGCACCTCGTCTGCCACGAACACTCCACCTGCTGCGCGCACGTACCTGTGGGGGGGGGGGGGGGGGGGCCCGGGTTAAAACCCCCTTAGGGGAAACACAACCCTGAAAAAAAAGAAAAGAAAGCAAGCCGCCACTCACTCTGCGACTTTAGCCGAGTACCCTCGGGCAACACGATTTGTCCTCCAACGCTCGGCAACGATTCCGCAAAGAAGGCCGCGATCTGTGTGGAAAAATTGAGTAAATGAGTCACATGCATGGCGTGCATTGGTCGCGTTTATGACACCATTATACAAGCGTTAAGAACATTGCTGATTTGGTCTGTTCTGCCCAAAAAAAGAAACTGTTAACGTGTACCTTACGACCTTTCCTGTGCACCTCCTCTATCAGGTGTTGGACTGTATCAGCGTAGGCTTGACAGGGGTCGGGGTGATCCTCTCTGTAAAGGCCTCTGTAGGTGTCTGGTAACGGGGCCTGGGAGGATGACACCATGGGGTTTTTTTTGGGGGGGGGGGAGAGGCTCAGACAGACAGAAGTCCACCGTGGGTGTGCGGTTTGTGTTATGATGGTAGTATGGATTTACACACCACATGAACCCATTCTTTCTGTCCCGCCAGTTTCCGGAACTTGTAGGGACTAATGTCGATGAGGGACATGAGATGCCCGTGGTATGCGCTGGTGTGAAAGGGGAGTTTTGAGTCGTCGATAGCCGCGGGTACATTCCGCGGGTTGAACGTGTGGCCAGCGAAACAGAGCACTTACTGGTCAAGCACGATGACGTCATCGTGACGGGTGTATTGCTGCGCCATGCGTAGGGCGAGGTCATTGGCCTCTGACCTGTCAGGAGAACCCGATGTAAACAAAACCAAAACAAATCAGGGGTACCTTAGGAATACTCTTCTGCTGCCTGTGTGTGTGTGTGTGTGTGTACCCGGAGTTAACGAAGTAGAACACACACAGCTTCTCGGGCAGCGTGGCCCTCAGGCGATCCGCATACACGACCATGTTGTCGTGCAGGAACCGTGTATTTGTGTTCAGCAGCTCCATCTGTGCCGCCGCAGCCGCAGTGATGCTGGGGTGACAGTGGCCCACTAAGAGAAAGGAATCGCAGGTGGTAAACGGGCTGCCATTAGTAGACCGGTGGAACGTAACATCACGCGCTTCGTGACGGTAATAAATGGGCCCGTTGGGACTGTTTACCGTGATGGACGTTGCTGATGCAGTCCAGGTAGCGGGTGCCGTTTTCATCGAATAGATATTGGCCCCTCGCCCGCACTATTTTCACAGGGTCGTCTGAATAAAACAGTCTACACGACTGCCTGAGGATCGATCGGAAGGAGATGACGTGTCAATAGTTTACGTGCACGCGCAGCTCAATGTGTACGACGCATCTGCATAACATACACAGCACCGGCCGGTTTTCACTACGTACCCGATTAATCGCTTCCTCATTTCCAGAGTGTCTTCTTTCCTGAGTTTCTCAAGTGCCATTTTCTCTGCGGCTTCAAATAACAGACTAGTGAAGAGAGTTCATGACAGTTCTTCTCTTTTGACTTTCTCTGGCACATAATGTCCTTTAAATGGCCTTACTGCCCCCTGCTGGATTCAATTGGCCACTGTCCTTTTCCCCTGACGGCCCTGTATGAAGTCCGATTGCTTTGAAAAGCTTTAACATGAATGTTCATTTCTCCACAGTGATCTCTTTAATTGCGACACCCCCGTCGTCCTTGTTGTCTTGCATTAAAAGCCCTTGTTTCCTCTTCATACGCCCTGCATGGAATCGGGACGTGCTCTACGTCCTCTTTCCCTTTTCTTCTCCATCAGGAGTTGCAGTCTTGTCATCACCACGCATATTTACATGATAGATGTTCATTTTTTCTGTAATATTGGTTGTTCAGTTTACTCTGTGGCCGTATTAAAAATGTCTCAACTGTGGGGATGTTAATGTTGATGGGATAAAATAAGTTCCACGTATGCTGCTATTTTGCTCGTTTCTGTACGGAACACATTCAAAACAAATGTATTTTTAGGAGTATGCGCTGTATACGTATTGCGGATTTTTCTCACATTGTATTTTGTAGAAGCAGTGTATTGAAAACACCCCATATATTGGTATGGTCCAGAGGCTATAAATACTCCGCTAATCCGTTCTCAGTACGGCGCACAGTGTTCAGCTTCGGTTGCTAAGGAACCACTGAATGCAGGTAATACATCAGGATAGCTGTAGCATGCTAGCTTTCAAACAGACTGCGTAACAACACTAACGCTACGACTGATTTATTGAAGCATTATCGCCCCGGCCGTAAACGTATTAACGTACCCTTTTCATATGTTAGTGGACCGAATCATGGCTTCAACCGGGTACAATGACACGCCTTTGACCGGGGACGTTAGCGGACTCATCGAGTGGCAGCAGCACCCTTGTTATCCTATAAGCTAGCTAAGAACACCGGCTGATAACGAAGAGTTGCACTGGCTGCATCGTGCTGCTGACCGAGCTTACTAAAAACACTGTACTTTGCTCCCCGGCTAAACTCGGTACCCGATTTATCCTGATTTATCCTGTATACTTGCCTGATTTTCATTCATTTCCTGCAATCGATGACAGACCGTTGTCGTACTGCTAATGTTTTGGGCAACGTGGCGTACATTTTATTTTCTCAAACATATATCGTAGAACATTGCCAACTCACTACGCGACACTGTCATAAACCTATTTGTCGGTTTGCACACCCAGCTCGAAGTTCTTTCCAACTATCGTAACTATGGCTCGTCGTATTAACAACATGGCATTATTGATTCCGTCACGTGCAAGTTTTGTACCGCTGGACGATGTTCGAGTTGTGTTAAAGTTGTACGCCAGCTGATGGTTGACAGCTGTGCTCTTTGCTGTGTGTGGGTTGTGTAGGTCGCGGTGCTTTTGATAAGGGATGCTGCTGGTGCAGGACGAGCTTTAGCCTGAAGTAGCACGTCTGCTGACATGTGGAACCAGGCTAGCTGCGTAGCACCATGTCTGCCACAGAGAGCAAGGCCCTGACCACAACTTTTATCAATGAGGGCTCCGTGTCTGTCGAGCGTTTGGATTCACATTTAAAGAAACATAATTTGGGGTCGATCGACGTCATGTATTCAATGCGGTGTTACTTGTCTTGGTTTAGATGTCAGCATTTTAATGTGCCCTGTCCCCTCCAAAACCACCAACTACGTTTTACTGCCGTGGCTGGAGATTACACGTTGTAGTTTCCGTTTTTCTTTCTGTTCTGTGCAAAGGTTTGCTGGGATGGGCCAATGTGGGTTAATCTTCAGAGATGTGTGTGCATTGGGTAATAGTTAGATCTTAAAAGCTAACGCTGCCATTTGCATGCGGCTCGTCTTCTGGCCCTTATTTAGGCTTTTCCTCGGTAATGTTAAGACCAGGTCACTGTTCTTTTTTTCTTTCTTTTTTGTCCCCCCCCCTTCCAAAGATACCATGCTTCCAACCCCTATACCCATTCATTTTTCACCCCCCCTTCCCCCTTCCGTCTCTCCCTCCCCCTACCATTCACTTCACAACTCAAACCCTTGACACTTTGTTGGACCCTGCTGACGATGATTGTTATGGCAATCCACCAAGGGTTTTCAATTTGAACATGCTATGTGTTTTCTTTTGAATTTTTAGTGGTCAATGTTTGTAGGCAGAGTAGGACATGGCCCAGTTCACTGTGCACGATGGAATGTGAAGTGTTTCTTTGTTCCGGCTCTCCTCATGCCCATGTGTTCTCTTTCTGCCTTTGTGAACATGAACTTCTGCCTTTCATGTGTGAATGAGGCAGCATGTAGATCCTAGCCTGTATAGCGACGTGGTCAGGATTTTGAACATCCCCTATTTTCCCCCTTGCATTATGTTCTTTCTGATGACTTCCCTCGACTAAAACACTTCTACTTGTTGTCGGTGGAAAGACCCATTAGCAGATTGTACACCTATCAATACATTTAAATGGAAAAGCTATTAATCCATTCATTTCATTTATTTCAATGTGATTTAACGGCAACATCTGGGAGCATTGTTTCATTAAAATCCCTTTTCATTCGTCTCTCCAGGTTGCTCAAACATGGGTTCGGCACAGTGAAGAAGGCTGGTCAGTCTGGCTGGTTGGGGTGTGGAGGGGGACACCAGAGGCCACGCCGGGATTCTGACCAACACAATTTCCACCTGCCCTCAGTAAATCTCATCGTCTCGATGTCTGTCGGTGGATAGCTGCTATAATTATGGTGACGCTTATCACAGAGCAGCTCCGTAAGCAGAGTTTGGAGGAGCCTTATTTCAAGGCTTTCTCTTTCAATGTGGTAAGTTGGATACAACATTTTGTCATTTTTAATTTTATTGTTATTATTATGACTTTTTATCCCCTTGGGCACCTTGGTTTTATATTTTCTTGTTTTGTATTTAAGTTTACTGACTTCTGCTTCAGTCCTTACCTGCAGTTGGTTCCAGTCCAACGGTCTCGTGGAGTGCTTGTAGGTCGACGCAAGGCAAGTTTATAGAATTTAGTTTGCATTATGTTTGCATTTAGGTGAGACATCTGCCGGCCTAGTCTAATGTCTCTCTTTTTGGCATTTTCAGAGACTAGCTCAGCTCCACACCTTTCATCCAAAGCCAACCCTCTGGGTGATTCCTCTGGACTCGACTCCCCATGGTGTCCTTCCCACTCTGGAGAACCTCTCCAGAGACCAGAGGTTTCTTTTACAAACCAGGTCATCCAAAGCTCACCTCCACAGCCACCTCCAAAACGCCACTGCCGCTCCCTCTCTGTTCCAGAGGACTTGTCTCGGTGTCGCTCCACCTGGCATCCAAGCGCATCCAAGGTGTGGACCCCGGTCAAACGTGACTGCCAAAGTGGGGGAGCATCTAGTTCCAGCTCTGGAGCCAGCTCTTTACCAGTTTGTGGGCCCAGCTCATCTTTCACCTCTTCCTCCCTACACTCATCTTCTAGCCCAACCTTTTTTAGCTTAGCACTGTCCTCTGACTCTCCACTTCCGTGGAGCTTCTCGTGGGACCCCTGTGACAAACCGCAAGGAGCCCGTTCGGCCTCCTTCGCTACTCCTTCCTCCTGTTCCTCCTCACCAGCCCCCTCGGTTTCCCATTCAGTTCTGCAGCGCCGCTTGTCCCTCTCCCCCGCGCACATTCAGGACGCGTCCCTGGTGCTCCTTCCCCTGCAGCCCTCCCCTGCTTCTGCTGTGATGTACAGCTGCCCCGGCGTAGAACACCCAGCCCTGTCTTCATCCCCCACTTCGGCCTGCAGCACCCCGTCCTCCTCAAGGCGCGACCTGCACCCGGCGCTGCCGCGATGCCACTCGCAGCCCTGCGACATGCGCAAACCCCGCTTGAAGAGGCGCCACGACCCAGATGTTGTGCCCTGCTCCAGGCCAGGCCTCGACTTCAGCAAGATGACACAGGTAGGCAAGAAATCCCAATGTGCTCCAGGTCAGGGGCCCCCAACCTTTTGAGTCTTATGTACCGGTTTCCTGTTAGAAAATATTTTGCAGACTGGTCATGAAGTTGCGGCGCCGGCGAGTAACGGTATGTAATCAGACAGCCTGGGTTCACTGTCTTCTGGATCTTGGAGGGCAAAATCTGTTGTGCCAGTCACATCAGTGCACTCAGGGTTGTGATGCACTCTACTGAAAGCGGTTGCAAATGGAGCTCGCCCCATTAATAATTTGAACTGTGTCACAGGTTTCCTGGTTAGTAATTGCCTAGTAAAGCAACTAACTTTCCACATTTTCCTTAATGTTCAATATGGCTTTCAAGGTAAAATCCTTAAATGTTCGGACCTTTTTGTTATTTTAAAGGAACAGTTTGGCCCAAAACCAAAGTTGTAAACTTAGGGTAAACACTGTTATTTAATATCAATCTTTCCGGCCTACTCAAACCGTTTTGGAGCGCGGGCCAGCAGCATGGCACTGGCCCCAAAAGTCCTTTAAAGGGGGAACTGAAAAGCTCAGAGAAAAATGTGTGACAATAGGAGTGTTGCAATAGCTAGTATCATTATAATCCATTTGTCCATCCAGGCAAATTGGTGGATTCAAATATTATTTAAAATCATCCAAAATAATGTTAAGTCATGGGTATTTTTCCAAGTTCCTGCGATGCATCGAGTGGGGCGCTCTGACTGTGACTCCCGTCAGAAGCTCCAATTCTTCAGAGCACTAATGCGGTTGTCGTTTGCTAGAAAGAAAATAGTCTGTACATGAAACTAATTTCAGATTTAATGGTATTTATTTAAATTGCATATTTCTTAGAGTCTATAGTTTCTAGAGTTAATGCTGCTTAGGTTGATACTTTGCTACTTTGTCTCACACATCAGCCAAGAACAGGACTCAATCTGTTAATCTATCTAATCCATCTATATTTTATTACCTTTTTGGGTGTGGATCCTGGAGACTTGAAAGTAACTCGTATTTATACATGAAATGATGATCATGACTGCGCCTTCTCTGCTGTGTAGATCGGTCATCACGGGAGCCTACTGTTTGGAACAAGTGACTCCATGGTTCCAGTGCCTTACCTGTCGGAGCAGCGCTTGGCCTTCTCCCCAGCAGAGTTTCTAGGACGAGCGAGCATTGGGCCACTAAGTGAAAGCGAGGAGGAGGAAGAAGAAGAAGAGAAGGACGAAGAAGACTGCAACGATAAAAGGAAAAGGACTGCAATAGATGGAGCACAGAAAATTGCTTTTGAAAGAGACTGCACAGAACTGGACCTGAATCTCATAGAAGAGAACTGACCACTCGTCGCCGCTGAAGTGTGATAACTGCATTTATTACTGTTAAGCACAGCTCTTCTTGGGAACCCGCTGCCATCCTGAGACACACGTTTAGGTGTCAT